TGGTAAGAGAACATAGAATTCCAAACTTTCTGTTATGATCCCCAGAATATAAGATCAGAACTAGGCGACATACACTCACTAAAGAAATCTCTACATATATCCAACATGTATGCCTCAAACAATAAGCTATAAGACCACTGCCTGGATATACTGGAACAACTGTATAGGTATCAGGTTATAATTTTATGACCTTTTAGTCTTTTCTTGAATGAAAACAGGTTCATGCTATAATATGTGAAGCACACCCAAATGACAAAACAAAAGTACTTTTGTCTTAGAAACACTGCCTGGGATTATAATCAATGATGACAGCTAAAAAATGTTAAAAAACAAAATAGGAAAATATTGTGAAGTGTTTATGTGACAAATACATGTAGAATGTCTGAATGTTGCTATCATTCTTGACCTAATGTCTTGTACGAACGTTAATTTCAGATTAATGTCAGGAAATTCTTTGGTTCTGGCTGTATTTAATTAATCAACAAAATCATGATGTCCTTCAGAGTTCCTTATCAAGCTCCCAATGGAGCAAGCAAAGCTGATGTGTGTGTCATGTCACATTTTTCTGACTCCTACAGTTTTATTTTTAATTAAGAAAATAGACAATGGAGAATAAGACCAGAGATGCATTGTTCGATGAATTATATTCTCGCTCGATATCAAGATTTCACTTTTAATTGTTACTTAAAAATCCCTCACCTGTATATCAAACATCACTTTAGTTACCCTGCCCCCTCCCCCCCCCCCCCCCCCCTCCCCATTGAAAACCTCCTTATCTCTGGCATTTTCATCCGAGTGTGTTATTTTGACATGCCCTCTATGTTCCTCTGGGATTAGATGAGATAATCTGTGATAACTTTATTGATTCAACATGAACCTGGTCTTTGAAGTATTTCCCTGTGAGTCACAATGGCTTTGAGGCAGTATTTAAAAAACACTAACATAGAAGATCAAATAACGAACTTGTGTATCAACTGATAAATAATCTTATCATAATTCCACAAATCTGCTGCAATTTATAAAGAAATTATGTTCAAACTGCAAAAGATTTGACAAATACATATTGGTAAACCAAAAATATTCTGATTGGCAGTTGTTCATATTTAGGGGGGTTTTAATATGTGAGTCAATGGGTAATGGGAGATAATAAAATTGGGACCGAGAACACGTCTAACCATCAATGACGTTCAGTGACAAAATATACAATTGTACAAAAAAGTGTTCAGATTGGCAGGTGTTCACAGTTCCAAGATTTTTATAAGTATAATTCCCAATAGATTCCTCTCTTATTAATCATAATTGTACTTTATGTAATGTATACCCAAAAGTTCAAATTATTTATGGAATTTCTGAGATAACATCTAATTTCAGAAGTAAATCAATTCAATGCTTTTTACTGGTGGAAGATAAATGTCACAAAAAGTATTAGAACTCATCCCGAAATTGCTCCCTGGTGAATTTTACTCAAAAATGAGATGCGATAAAAAGATGAGCTACAGAATATAATAGGAAGAAATTATGAGAATTTATATTTATCAGCACGATGTCAACATTCTAAATTATTTAGAATTGCTGGAAAGTAAAACCGTTGTTAATTAACTTTTAAGTTATCATTTTGGAAAGGCATTTATTGGGAAGCTTTATAAGACAGGTTTATAACTACATTAGAATGATTCACAATTATAATAAGAGTGTAGTTTCCCCTTACAAGTATAAAACATTTGTGTCTTGAAGTTGACATTGAATAACATGAACACATCAAAAAATTTATGATCTAAACATTTAATCCTCTGGCATCCCTCTGAGGCACAGACTTGTCAATATTTTATACATTTCAATTTTATTGTGATTACAAATGTTGTGTCTTGTTACATAGAAAGGAAGAAGCCCATGCATTAAAAATCCATCTTCTCATATAAATTCTTGATTTTGTCTTTCTGGTATCTAAATAAAAAATCTGATTTTCTAGGAAATCTTTAGAGTTCCTAATGTACACTTAATGCCTGGTTATTTTATTCATCGCTAATTCTGCCTTTTTCAGTAATAACCTTAATTGTTCTAACATTTTATTGTCGGAAAGATAAGTGATTCAGAGATAGGACACCTCCGCAGAATGGAGAATATTGATTTGTCAAAAGCAAGGCTGCTTCTCTATTTTCTAGCAGAATAATCTGAATCATATCTCATTTGGTCTCCTATGTACTGAGATCTTAAACAGTCATGCATGACTGGTCAGTTGAAGATAAATATATCACAGAATAGGAAAACATGTAAGCCTTTGATGGACTAGGATATTAGAACTGGTCATAATTAAAAGATGAAATTATTGTAAAATGAAATTAATGTAAAATCTTCATCAGCTCAATTTTTGAATGAGTGGTCCAGTTGAATCACAAAGCAGACAATGACGCAACATCTGTAGGAGTTTACAGCTGTAGGATTTGACATAAAAACAGCTGTTGGATTTTACATTAAATCAAAACAGCTGTTGAACTTAACATACTATAGAGTGTAATTAATTTACATAATTTAAAATCAAATTCTATTTAAAATATTGATGGATTAAGAATGACAGCATCTGGACCTTGTAGCTGGGTATCAAGTCTTGTATCCGTAACTATGGGAACAATCAAAGATTCAGCTCATATTTTATGGTAAGAGAAGTAGGACTTTATCTCATCTTTATGGACCTATGACAGCTCACTCATTTATTTTTATTACCATTTCATTTTTTATATGTATCTGCTTTCTGCAGTTTATTAATGGTGTCTTTTCAGTAGTAATGTTTTTTTGAGCTCTATCTAGTTATTTTTTCTACTAGCCTTTTGCCTTTTGATATTTGTGAAAATTTGTCCTTATCTCATTTGATCATCCAGGTATGTTGATATTTGCCTTGTTTGGTCTGGAGGATGTCCTGATAGACCCCCATACCATGTTGACCTCTTATCTGGATAGAAATCCCCAAATGTGATTGGTCAAAAGAGGTCATGTGACATATCAAAGGATATGTGGGATCTGGTCTGTCTTGAATGATTATATATCTGTTGGTTGAAACACTAGCCAGATAACAATTTTGGGTTTGAAGAGTTGAGAAAGTGTTTACATTTTGCTACCTTTAATAAACAGCATCTGGTCTATGACTGCCAACAACATATGTATGCTTGGTTACCCCACATTCCAGGACAGAACTTGCTGTGTCAGTTAGGGAGTACTATGTGGTATAAACACTGCAGTATAATGCAGTACAATACAGTAATGTACAACACGGCACAGTTCCATACAGTATGCAAGGCTTGCATTAACGGCGTCCCGTACATGTTAAGGACTCAAAAATAATTTGGAGGACGCAAAAATTGAAAATATTTCCGTTTTTTGGACGCAAATTTTTTTTAGGTCAATACTACAATGTGTTTACAACGATACATAACAAAAACAAATAACTATGATCCCTCACCTTTATTTGAATCGTAAATACATAAAATAAGGCTCAACATGTTGAATATTTACAAATAATCATGATTCTCTCGAATTTTTTCGACTTTGTTTATTTTTAGATTTGAAACCATGACACCCCACAGTTTTTCCTATTAAGAAACAAATATTAGGTTATTCATGAAATAAAATGTATTCATTGCGAATGAACGAACATGCATTTATTCAGTCCGTACTTAACGTTTACTTCCATTTTAAAAATCGCGGCAAGAAATCAATAACTGAAAGGTGTTTTGGTAAAAAATGCTTTTAAAATAAAGTTATACTTCAAAACAGGCTAGAAATAGGGGACACACTTTTTTTTTAAAGGACACACTTTTAAAAAAAAATTGCGTCCTTGGGACTCACAAATTTTCTAACCTAATGCAAGCGCTGAGTATGGTACAGTACAGTATGTTACAGTTCAGTACAGTGCAGTGCAGTGCAGTACAGTACAGTATAATACAACACAATATGCACAAAACATGCAGTAACATAATATTTTATCCTGATCAGAAATAGAAGTTGATTTCAATGATCATGTCAAGGAAAGCATCATAAGATAGATCATGCCTATATAAGAAGTAGATAATTGATAAAATATAATATTATGTTTCTAATTTGAGGCAGTTCTACACTTTCTAGTTGAGCCCAGTTGAAATATGTGAGAGAATACAAAAATCTGGACGCCATCTATTGATGGCCCCCTCCATCATCATGTCTCATTTATTCGTCATAATTCTTTTTTGAGGCAGAAAAACATTAGACAGTTCCTCTGAGAGTTTCTAATCATTTTTCAACAGACAACTCAGTTTTTGGTTAACGACCATTGTTAATTATATTTTCTTCTATTTCATAGTTGGTTGTAATTAACCTTACCCGCGTGCCTGATTGTAAAATATCGTGGCATGTTTTTCTTATTTTTCTCATGTTGTTAAATTACATGTATTTATGTTTATTTAACAACTTAGAAAACATTGAAATGTTATTGAAGTTATTTGAGGAGTTTTTTGTAGATATATGTTTTTATTACACTAAGATTAGGAAATTGAAGAATAAACATTAGTTGTAAGGGGAAATAGCTAAAAAATAAAATGTAATTTTCAGCAAGTTTTTTATTGAGTTAAGGCTTTGTGCATTAGTTATATCATGTTATATTAATAGTTAGCATGAAACGGTCCAACTTTGGATGAAACAACATAGATCCTTTGCCAAATATAATGTAAAACAACCGTCAACAAGGCTATAGACATATTAATGACAGTGTGGACCTGTATAGCGCAACACGAATATAAAAAAATGTCGCTGTTGAACAGAATCTCACAATTCTCTTCAAAATCTATGATCAATTTGGATAACATTAACGAAAGTACACATGAGGATAATACAAAACGGAATTCAGCCATCACGGATACAATGCTTCGTGTTGGTCCTCGGGTGTTACCCCGAACCTCAAGTCGGAATTCTAGCTTCCAGCCTCTAAATGCATATAATCGCAGTAATTCAATGTCGTCTATATATGCTTCCAGTCAGCAGCCGGAGCACAGTATTGTGTCATCCAGGGCCAGTGTGATGATTTACGATGACGCCAACAAGAAGTGGGTGCCGAGCGGGGGAGTGCAGACACTTTCAAAAGTACAGATCTACCACCATTCCCAAAATAACACATTTAGAGTCGTGGGAAGGAGATTGACAGATCATGAGGTAAGATTTTTTACTTCTCAATCAAGAGAAAAAATTCATCACCTTTATGTCCTTCATAATATTCTCTAACAAAGATTTGGGTTATGAACACAAAATGATTGAAGCAGAGAATTGATCCAAGACTACAATGGCTACATACGCCTTAATGGTCTGTTTCATCCTTGATCCAAGGGTATTTCACTTCTTTTTACAATTGAAAAAGTAATGATGCTTTTGATGTACTGTGGGTCTGTACATGTCATATGTGTTTTACCAATATGGCCATTTGTGCTTGATTCGTTTAATTATCTGGGAAAATATTCATAAAGATAGTATAGGTTCTCAAGAGTTGAGCCATAAAAATCTTAATTGTTATATAATTGTTTATTAATCATAATGACATTGTGCAACTGAAAATTATTAAATGATGATATCTAATCATAAAATTAGTCAAATTCACAAAATGTGTTGCATGGATGGAATGTTAAACTGCTTTGCTAAGGTAAGGAGATAGGCTTAGTTAAAATTATTTATTATTGACGATTGCAGATTAAAAATAAATCATACACAATACAATACAGTCATAGAATATATTATATTTTTGAGCAATATGAGGTTAATTGCTATTCAGTTGAAATAGTTGACCTTCAAACATATATTTATCACATCAAGGCATATGTTTTTGATCAATTGCACCCTATGGATTGGATAAGTCAGTTTAAAACAGTTTGGCACTTTTTATGAAAAACATAGCTGGCTGTCACCTACTTTTAGCAAATCTAGATTTTGGTTGTTTTGCTTTAATCTGCTTTAGGTCATAGTATATATACAGTCAAGGGAAAATGTTTAACCAATGGCTAGTCAATATTGCTTATAATTTATAGGGACCTTTCCATTAACTCAAAAAAATAAAATCTCGCATGAAAAACCTTTCCTTCAATGTTATCACACTACCCTACCTCGATAGCGCATGCGCAAATTTTTTGGCTTTCAACCAGGTCGCTTTTGAGTATATCGACTGCTTAGTCAAAAGGTTAATACGTTTGATGCTCGGAGTGAGTCAATATTGCTATTCGCTGAACTTCAGTGGTGCAATAGTGAAGTCCATGTTCCAAGTTATATGATAGTTGAAGAAAGAATGTAAATAATATCGTTTTAAATTTTAAAATATTTGATATGTCATAGTACATGGTACACAGTTGCAAAAGTTGATCAATACAGGGTACAAGGAATGTAAACTGTTCAATAGTACAGGGAGCGAGAAAGTAAGCTGATTATACGGACATACTATATCCCGATCTCATGTACATTTACGTTGCAAACAGTGAAAATAATGCTAAAAAGGCCGCCTGTTGATGCTTTGAGGTGTCATCAATTGTTATTTAATGCAAATAAAGTAAACATTATTTTGTAGATTGAGACACAGGCTTTCAGGTCGTATATATGCATTTTAGTCATTGAATTAACAAGGCACGCTAGATTATATGTGTTACTAGGGTATCAAATTGAAATGAAATAACGAAATTAAATATGAACACATTAATGATAAATGACTATCCGCTATCAGGATTAATGACTATCCGCTATTCAGAATAATTCAAACTGCCTGAACTACATGTAAAGAATCTTTCTATATAACCCATTTAATGGTCTAATTCACTACCGTCCCCAAAAACCGACCATTTGAAATATTTTGTTCAAAATACCATCATGCCACGACTTGAGAGCATTTTGTTCTTAACGATTTGTTGTAGCGCTGATATGACGTCGTATTTCTCTATTATTGAAAAAACTAATACCTGATCGATGTTGGATGTCAGATGTTTTTGGATGGTATATGCTCCAGTGATTTTGCATTGAACCATGAAACGCTCATCACAAGACACTTCGAAACAAACATTATCCTCTTTGTGACAAGAGGAAAATGTTTCACAATATGTTATGCCTTACGGCAAAGTAAAGATATATTTCTGGGACGACCTTTTTGCATTATTAAGATTTTAGAAAAATAATTAATTCACGAAAATACAGTTGAATAGTACTAACATACTGGAAAACGTATCCACATATAACACGATGACACGCAGTTTAAATAACAGTTAACTGTTTTTTTTTGTTACATAACAATGCAACATTTTCAAAGGGAAACGGCATGCTCCCTGTACTTTGATAGATTTACTGAAATGTATCGTGTATTGCATTGACTTTTGCTTCACTGCGCCCACTATTATCTATCTTTGCCTATAGTGGTTTTTTGACAACAATATTCTACAAACTGCTTGATGAATCAATTCTATGTCTGGTAGAACACAAGAAATAAATGTAAAATGTATTTTACGTTCAGAAATATGGAATTAAACCCACGTCCTCCATTTGCAACTTAGCTGTACCCTGTTTCCCTTTTAAACGTGGTCACGTGGTAGGGTAGTGTGGTTATATCTTGTATGAGTACTGCTTTGAATTTTTGTACATATTCCCGTGTGCTGCTCATATAAAATAATATGACAAGAAAATAAAACTAAGTTGACTACCATTCACATTTGACTGCTTCGTGAAAGCATAACAGTGAAATTACAACTTGAATATGTGAAAAGGACCAAACTATTAAGAACCCACAAAAATAGCATGCAAAAATATGATACACAGTATATTATAATCCAAGAGTATTTTAGTAATCTACTTTCGGTCATGGCTAAGGCCTTATAGAAAGCCCCAGGGAAAAGGAAGCACTAAGTAAAATCGAACAGCATCATTAGAGGGAATATTTTTTAGCTCTAAGGTGCATTATAGATAATTTTGTTCATTATTACTTATTAAAATCAGGTTCCTTTTAAATTTTATGATATATGTTCCAAATTCTATGCTTAAAGTTATATTCATTTTATAAAATCTTAATTTTTCTTTTCCAGGTTGTAATAAACTGTGCCATACTAAAAGGATTAAAATATAATAAGGCCACGCCCACATTTCATCAATGGAGAGATCAAAGACAGGTTTATGGGCTTAACTTTGGCGGAACGGAAGATGCTGAAAATTTTGCAGATACCATGATGACTGCGCTAGAAAGACTGAACAGTAAGTAGGACCAGTCTTTCCATGATACAAGACACCATGATATCATCAAATTATAAATTTCCAAGTTTATTAGACTCAGTTCAGTGTTTACTGGACAAGGGTAGCTTATATCCGATACACATTTTCTGATTTTTGACAAAAGTACGTCTACTATTTCCACAATATCCTTATCCAACTTCATATAGATGGATATAATTAAGGAATAAATAATGATAGGCCATTCAATATGGTGAAATTCAGCACGAGTTGGACAGAATGTTGTACAAAGCACGAACGAAGGTGAGTGCATTTGTACTAACATTCTGTCCAACGAGTGCTGAATTTCACCATATTGAATGGCCTATCATTATTTATTCTGATTCAAACATAAAAATTAGTAAAAGCCGTGTCTGTGGAACGGGCATGAAGGAAGAATACGAACAGCTATCCCCGGACAGAGCCCCAGATGTGCAGCTGAGATGTGACGTCACTCAAAACAATGCAAATTGCAGATTGAATAGAGCATGGTCGTGCATCTATGGAGAATTAGAGAACGTTCTATATTGGCTATGCTGCATTCTGATTGGTTGAGAAATTCGAATAGAGCACGGTCATGTTTGAATTGAAGACTCAGCACGGCTTAGTTTATACATGGGCTTTCAATTAGAAGCCCATGGTTTATAAAATGTCTTAAATTCAAATATGACCATTGCTCCCGCACCTAGCACTCATTTTATCTATCTTAAGTGTTTTTGCAAGCTCAGTCTGCAAAAAGTATGCTTGATTTCTTCTAGTAGTTAAATCCATAGGGAAATGCTATATTGTTCAGGTTACAAAACATAAAATCAAGTTTAAAAAAGTGGAATATGCCAAGTGTTAGTATAGTAAGTTTCATGCTGAATGATGTTTAGAAATTGAAGAGATTTGAATTTCATAATTTGTAAGCCTGGAGAATAAGAAAATTCTTCAGTCTATGGTTATATCACAAGAAGCTCTTACCAATAAGTTAGATTTTTGGATGACTGGGATCGTAAATATTGGTAATCTATAGCAAAACTGAATATTGAATGTTCAATTCCCAAGAGAAGAGGATCATGGTATATCTGGGCTCCATTCCGCAGCTTGGTAATTGTTGTAAAAGTGATAGATTTTGTAGCAAAGAATATTGGTTTCTACAATTTCTGCATATTTAACACCTTAATGCAGTAGATACCAACTCCATAGTTATTTCTATTGTGGAGTTTCATTGTTTTGTGACAATATGTCTACGATGTCTAATCTTAAAATCGTTGAATCCTGAGATTTAATAGAATGGAATATCATGAATATTGTACTAATTTACTAATTGAACTTCTTTATAGATACCCATATTTGATAATATAAATTATTAGAAAGCAATAAAACATAATGCTCCACATAGACTTTTCCAAATCTTCCCAAAATTAATTGTCAATCTAACAAAAATAGTAAAATACATACCTATATATTTTTGTTTATTTTGTAGCTATATACCAAGCCTCAAAGCAACAACAACAACAACAACAGCAACCACAACAAGCCCAACAGCCCCAACAACAAATCTACAGTCGACCGCAGGTACAGTCGGAAAGTGGGCCAGCCCAGAGAGATAGTAATTACGGTCAAAGTAATGTCTATGTACAGAATGCCAACGGTCCTGCTGCAGAGGTAGATGAAAGGTAGGAAAACATTAATCAGGCTTGTTCAATAAGAGGAGTCCTTCACCTTCAGGAGATCTCATTCTTGGTCCAGGTGACTTCTTTTTAAGGTTCAGCATAAAATCCTTTACTTTCAGGATATTTGGGGGTTTGCCATTTGAGACACCTTATTCAAGGGGTTTTTATTCAAAAGATCTCTAAGGATGTTTCTCCTTAAGTGGGCTTATTCTTGAGGCACCTTATTCAAGGGATTTTTATTCAAAGGAGCTCTTTTAGGATTTCTCTCCTTCAGTAGGCTTTTAACATTCAAGATACTTAGGGGTTTGCCATTTTAAGGCTTCTTATTCAAGGGATCTTCACTCAAAAGATCTATTTTTGAATGTTTCTCCTTCAAGTAGATACAACTTCTATTATTGATATCTTAAGACCTTTGTTATGACATTACTTGGAATCCTCTTAGGAAATAAAGATTATATTCCTTTATGACCTTGAACAATCAGAACATAAGCCATGGGTGTAGCCAGCTTTCAGTCAGGGGGGGTAAGATTGGCAAAAAAATTTTGGTTTTCAGTCAGGGAAAAGATTGTGGCATAAACAAGCCAAAAAATAAGATTTATTTTGAATTTTACAAAAATTGATGCAACTTCATAAGCCACAACTTTGACATAAATTGAAATTCTTTGCAGCGTGCTAAGGTCATACAATATTTTGAATAGCACACTACAGTACTCACTAGATGTGATCATTATGCTCAATTATCATTTAATTCCTTTATCATCTTGAAACATTTAAACAGAATAACAAGTGATTACATAATCTACTCCTTATATATCACTATTGCTTGCCTGCATACAAAGATAAGTCAGTCAGATATGCCATCATAAGTAACAGCCTATTGTTGTTCAACTTGTTAGTAAAAAGTTGCATCACATTGTTTTATGTTGATCGTGTATTATATTGTAGAAATTCAATAACTGCAATATATAACATGTGTTCTAGACTGCCCAAGTTAAAACGAATGTTGCCAGAATTTAATGTCCCATTGCACATTGTGGTATAGAGTAAAACCCGTCTTAGTGAACACCTCTCAAGTGAACACCCATCTCTAGTAGACACCCCCCCTCCCCCGTACATACTCTATGGACTATGGTATGAATTACCCTCTCTGTAGTAAACACTTACCAACAATGAATGTTTTGGAATGGCAGAAAATGTTCAATATATACAGGTTTCACTGTACTCAAGAATATTTCAGAACTGTGAACATTCACTCACTACCATAAGAACTTGTTCCACATATCGTTCAGATTATTGTGGGATTGTGCACATATAAAATAATTTTGGACCAATTTCATAGAATTTAGATGTTAAAGGTGATGTAATTAGTATTCTTCATAGCCTTGTAAGGGGATGGTTGTAACTGATGACTCATTTGTTGATGGGAATATAATTCAATAAGTCTATCTGCAACTGTTAACAGTTACTACAAATTCACATACCGTATTATCTCTATTAAACGCACACTCTCTAATAAACGCATACCCGACTTTTTGTCCAAGGTTAGAAAGTCCTGTCCAGATAATATTGAGATCTGACGAAGCTCTAATAAAAAAAAACATTGTGGGCGATAATAGAGTATTTTCACCTACCGGTTTATTGTGTCGATTTCAGAAGCGATTCCAATTTATTTATATCAGCAGCACATCCCTTCAATACATATACAACAGGTATTTCTAATCCCTTGCCTTTATTCAGCCTCTTTCCAGCGATCTTTCCTGATATTGTCCCTCCTCGTTTCAAAAAGAACTTAAAAATTTTGGTGTCACGATTTCCCATCATGCAACGTAAGAAATTTCTTCAGGTGTTCGTGTAAATAACACACAATAGTGTATTTATATACTAAATTTGTCGTTTAGGAGCTCACAATTCAAGGTAAAAACATAACATATAGCATATTCTCTCTAATAAACGCACATAGCTACTATATTTGATCGATTTAAGGTATAGAAGTAAATTTTCACCCATTATCGCCCACCATCATAATTTTTTTAAATTCCCGGGATTTCGCTGCTTGAAACCTCTCCCCCCGCCTCTCATCCACGGGAATTTGCTAAGCGCACTGTGCGTTTAATAGAGATAATACAGTACCTTTTTGCAATTTGTTAAAGGATATTTAGTTTGTTTCATTCATTTTGCCAGGTGGGGATCCCAAATGGGAGGGGTGGAGTGTATGAGTCAGATTGAGGTTAAATTATATGAAATTATAAATGAAAATTTAGAACTTGTTAAAATCAAAATAAAATTTATTGTCATAAGAGTATTATCATTGTTGAGCAAATCATTGTTCTGTTTACATCATATCTATAAAAGCCCCTTACAAAGTTTAAACCACTTTTCTTTGGCTTATGTTGTACCCAATGTTATCAAAATGGGATATGTGAAACTTTTAATATTAAAAAAGTTGTTTTGGAGGGAGTTTTTGTTCGAAAAATGACTTATGATTATTTGAAATAATCTTTTTGTGAAGATAATGGCCAAAAACCATCTAAATTTTTTTAGATCGTGAAAACAATCGAATCATTCTTCAAAAATGTACAAAAAACATATTATTCATAGTTTGTAAACATGTCAAGGCTTTATGATCACCTCTGGGTTCTGCAGATTTCTAGAATTTCAAAAGTTTGTTCAGGGTTGACTGATTGATGGCTTTCTTCATCTAAAATAGAAGCTGAGTTGCAACTCAGGAATCCTGCCATGTAAACAAATGCCATAATCAAATCTTTAACCACTAATAAGAAACTGTTGTTCAGAACCACATACAAATTCATATTTGATTTATGAAGGTATTTCCCTGATGCATATCTGTTGATTGTTATGGAAATGATTCAGCTGACTTACGTTTGTAATAATTGGGATTACCGTATATAAGGATGTTACTTAGTTCCGAATGAATATAATTGGAGAGTTATAAGAAACAGTCTGATTTTTTATGAAAAAAAATCTTCATATCAATTTACAAAAAGAAAATTTGAAACATGCCTGTATGTGTAGCTAATGCTTTAATACAGTAAGTTGTTGTTTGGGTTGATGTAGTAAACATGAATTTATTTTCAAATTATAATGAATAGAATAGAATTTGACAGTAGTCTATATAGTCTATATGAGATATTTGCATCGCTTCTTTTTTGGGAGCCTATGTGGTACTAGATTACTATACTTCTGGTGTGGAAGGATTCCAAAAAATGAAAATACATTATAGTAAATCAAAATGAACTTTCAAAATAGTCATGTTTGTGATTGTTTGATTGACAGGTTACAACGGGAAGAAGAATATAGTCGCCCTGCCCACATGCAACATGCCAGAACGCCATCTGCTGGAAGACCAGGTAAGGATATACTTTTCAAATATTCTCTCATGAAGTAAAGTGGGCTTTTCGTTGGCACCCTTTTCAACAAAAGCTGAGTTTCAAAACATTCTTTCTCATTGTGCCCATGATCGAATGATTGTAATTAATAAAAAAAACACTGGAAAATTACCTCTGATTGAAAGTCCAAATGTTCCAAGTAAGTATTATCTTTAACATTTGAATTTTGAGCCCAGTAAAACAGAATACTAGGGTTTCTCTTTTATAAGAGCCAATGACCAAATAAGTGTTGTAAGTGATACATACCATTGCTTACTATACTCCAGAAGTAAGATTATGTCTGTCTTTCAGCCCCTGCAATATATGCTGAAGCTCAACAAACCCCCCGACAGGCAGAACCACAGCCAGCCCGGGCCACGTCTCAACCTCCAGTGGCCCCCCAACCTCCACCTGTTGCACCCACTCCTGCAGCGCAAGCGGCACCCCCACAGCCTCCACCTGCCCCTCCAGCACCACCTGCCGGTGGTCCCCCTAAACCTCCAGGCCCTCCCCCTGCCATAAGTCCAACAGCTACTCCCCCTGCTCCCCCTGCCCCAGCTGGCGGTGGCCCCCCTCCCCCACCACCACCACCTCCTGCCCCAGCTCCTCCACCCCTGGGGGGAAGCGGTGGTCTAGCAGATGCACTTGCAAAACAACAGTCACGGTTAAAGAAAACAAATGTAAGGCACTTTTACATTTTTGTCAATTTACAACTGTAACATTAGTACATGTATGATAAATCAGACACCAACCTTGAATAAAAATCATGATTAAGACCAATGGACGTTGTGTAAATCAGCGATGAAAAACAGTTTGTTGGATCTTTACTTCTCGAAAAAATGCAGTGTTTGATGTAACATAATTGACGAGCTTGCTGAGCTGATTGGATTGTGAAATGCATTTTAACAGAGTTGACGTTTCCATGTAATATAATAAAGACATTGCAGTGCTAAATGTTGTATTGACACATTTGACATTTATACACACGTTCTACTCATGAATTATTTCTTGTGTTTGATTTCAATTATTACTTTGTGAGTTATTTGACATTTTTGAGTCTGTTTTATGCAATAACTAAACATGAATCGAGCACATTTCATGGGATTGATAGATTTTTAACAGTTTTAACTGTGATGTGTTTCACATTTGCAATTACTCAATGATGGTGGAGAAATCTTGATGGCAATCTCTCCATATGGAAAATAGAGTGGAATTGAGTGGAATTAGCAAGGAATAAACAGACTTGCGGGTGGTCAACACTTAAAGTTGTATAGAAACACAATACGAGGATTGTCCCATAAGTCCTGAAATTCATAGAATATTTGAGATACAATAATAAAAATGAAATATTTTTTTAATTCAAATAGAAATTTTAGGAGTTATGGTACATCCCTCGTAAAATGAGACAGTTCATTCAGATTTTGAAGAGGAATGATGTAAACTGAGCAGATCCATCATCAGGATATTTTATCATTGGCTGTGCATTATTTGTTGACTAATATAAAACAGTGTGTCGACTCTGTGTGTTTATAGCTAGATGAAAATAGCCCAGACGATTCCAGTAACAGTATTAATAATTCCCTCGGTTCTGGCCGAGATACGATTGGTCGATCAGCCATGCGTGGGAGTAGTGGAAGTAGCGCAGGGGGCGGAGGTGGATTTGATCTTATGAGTGAAATGCAGAAAAAATTAGCAGCACGAAAAGCCAAATCAGAAGGAAAGGTATGTTACAAAGTACAATTGAGACAGTTATTGATTTGGAGGGACAATGGGTTTCTCTCTTGTACTCGATAGAATATTTAATGTTTAAGTCTATACAAATCATCTGACATGTTATGTATATGTGTTGTGGTCTGTGTTGACCTTTAATACTAAATGCATGACTCGAAAATTCTGTTTGTGATTGTAGTGTACACTTCCATAAAAGTTCATAAAGTATTTTGTTGTTCATTTACTGTGACATCATGGATTCCATGGTTACAATAAGGGAAGTAGAAATAGCTAGGAATGTTCTGGAAGTGTACCCCTGAATAATACATTGTATTTGTGAATTTTGAGTGATTTGAGTGACAAATTATATTTTAAAGTGTGTTTGATAGGCCTATCTTTACTACTTACCACACAAAAATGACATAGTATAGTAAGATAGCAATATGGTAAAATCTGTCAAATATTTTTTATCCAAATGGTTAAAGACACATGTTTACTGAGTAATATGTTTCTTCCACTCAGGATGAACCTGCTCCTGCGCCTGCCCCAGCTGCCACTAATACCACATCAAAACCCTGGGAGAGAGAAGGCAAGCCTCCTTCTGGGCCAAGCACCAATAATGGGACTTCTACACCCACTAAGATCAACACCACCAATGGCTCAGCTTCACCAGCAACTTCAAGGTAATGTCTCAAGTTTGTATAACATGTATTGAGGTCATGTTTCAAAATGTCAAATAGAGTGGAAAATGTGGAAATAAGCAAGAATTGGATTGAAAATATCTCTGAACTCCATTCTGTCTTAATTTTGAATTCGGCCATGTTTTTCCAACTGATTTGAGCATTTCATACCAGGATTGGGTTTTTAAGAATATTGCTTATGCAATATTGTCACATTGATAGAAATTCAAGTAAATCGACATAGTGAACCTTTAGATGGAAATCTTGTGAAACGATTTCAAAAAATGTGTTAGGAGGCCATTTTAATGAATAAATATTGAGTCATTTAACAATTACCGTACAGCAACTTGTAATATGGCAATTAATCAAATACGGGAACACAATGAACAAAATGAACAAAAACCAATTTTATCTGAATGCCCAATGTGAACATAATACTTTATTATGATTTAAGATTCGTAATCAGAATTCAAAGGTTTTATATGGCAAGTGTACATTAATGTTTTATGTACAACTTTTAATCTAAGGTTCACTGTACATGTATTTTACAATGATTTGAGAATATCAGAATACTCCAAATAGAGGACTTGACACCATGCAAAAAGTTTTACTTGACACCATGCAAAAGGTTTCAAGCCTTCTCACAAAAACACAGCTCATAACACTATTAATATGCATGTAATGTTATATTCAAAGTTGAACATTATAGTATGATACATCTATCCTTAAACCGAGATATTTTACGATTATCCGGAGAATATCCTGTCCAAATTCCAAAATCCTTCCCATGCGATGTAATGAATTTAATAACTGCTTCGCCATAAAAGATCTCAAGTTCATCAAGACTCAGTTTAGACGCATGGGTCGGGGATGTGGCCTTGTTAACTGCTTTCGTAATACTATCGGAAATCTGTTTGTCAAATATGATTGGTCCTCCAAGGTAATCTGTCGTAACTAGATCAAGGCTCATCTTTGGTAGCACTGAAAATAGAATTTCCATTTTTGTTATATCGAATTGAGTGGTTGATGATTTAATTCAATGCATTCAATGAATATGTTATTCGATCAATGATGCCAATTATGATATGATATTCTTTAGCTTGTATTCGCGAATGCAACTTTCGGCTGTCGGTTACTGGATTAAACATGAAAAATATCAGTACCTGCCACTATTCCATTCATATTTAAATAAGTTGCTCATAAAATAGTAGGTCAATCTGGTTGCTGACATCTGAAAGTTGTATTCGTGAATACAAACCTAGTATTATGCAAAATATATCAAAGAGGTGAAGAAAAGTAAAACTGCAGTATTAGCTATGCTAAGTACAAAATGGTATTAACCTCTTTGTAGTTCCATGAATGTTATCATAACAGACTGGGGGTCCAAAAGATGTAACTTCATGAACTGAATATTCATATCCCTTCTAAACTGGCCCTCTGTGTAGTTGCCCTTTGTTAAAGGGTGCAGCACCGAATAGACCCAATTCTGACCTAACATCTTCTGTGACAGTTCCCTGGCCCAGTATGCTCTGAAATACAGGAATGACAGCAAACTTAGCTAATGTCGTCAAGTTCTGAGATCTGTCATTAAGTTTATTCAAAAACTTCATTCATTGTCCTCTTGCCCCCGCCCCCTCCCCCCCTCCACCCTCCCCCCCCCCCCTCCCCTAAGGTAGGCCCAAAAAAGCTACTCCTCCCCGCACAAACTTGGCAAATTACATAACAAACTTACTGACATTACTGGCCCCACCCAGCCCCCTTTTGATTTCCAGGACCACCCCTATTCCCTTATTGTTACCTTTTCAATATCATAAAATCTTTGACATTGCATATACAAATAGACCATGACTATTTTTTCTAACTTAAGAGACCTTTTTATCACACTTTCCACATTCTCATTTTGTAAATTAGGTAAATAATGATCATTATATAATTGATATATAGAATATGCTGTTTTACCCATTTTCCATGAATTTTCTAAATGTCAGATTTGTTAGCCGGTCTTTCACAAAGTCTGGGAACAGCGATGTGTATATATTGAACCCTGAAATGAAATAATATTCAGTCATGTGGTTGAGTTTATTGATAAAACTGAACTTACAAAATAATTTTGAACATTTCTTGGAATAAGTTAATTGGCAACTCATTGAGAAATAGTAAAAGTAGTAAAACATTGTAAGAGACAAACAAATAAACAATCAAACAAACAGAATATGCCTACCCAACTTTTTCCAGTCTGAACTACTGCATATATCCTTCAACAATTCCTCAACTGTTTTACCATCCACCATTTTGTTTATCTTATATGTATCCTTTATGTGATACACATTTTTAAACATCAACAAATTGCCAAGAAATTCAAAGTCGAACCAATCAGAATCAATAATTTCTTCATCTCGAATCCGATTTAGTTTTTCATCAGGGAAGAATGCATCCTTGATGTGTGATTGGTTTATTAAATATGACATCAGAATGTCTTTGCAGTGTTTAACCAATGTGTCTGTGTTGTTCTGAACTGGTGTCAAAGAAAGTAAGACATCTGTAGATAATCCATTTGTAGTTTCTGCCCTGGTTGATGTGGAGTCCATTTTTGAATTTTTTGAATCCGATTGAATTTATTCTGAAGGCTGTTTCTAGATAATATTTAGAATTTGCATTCTTGATTTTGGATCCCTCTGAAAGTACCCATTTGATGTTATATTGGTGTAAGTTTTCTTAATTTCTGCAGTTTGTCTTTGTGTAGATTACAAGAACCCTGAACCTGAAATCGTGTACATAAACAATGCTTAATAGATATAATTCACATTTGATTTTGGCCTGGGTCATCATACACTGCTTTGTTTAGTAGAGTCTTGAGTATGAAACTGCTCTAGACATAGTGACATATTATGTACAATTGGGAATTATTGTTATAATAAGCTTGATTATTTTAAACCAGTAAACCAAGAATAGTTTTATAGACATAATCTTTGTTTAGTCTCATAAACAATGAACCCATTAGTGGTACAGGCAGTCACTGCAGACTTAACTTCAAAAGTGCCCAATAAGCCAATCACATGCCATTCCAATAAACCCCACCCTCTTTTGCCAGACTGAAGAAACCGAATATATTGGCTCAATTTATGATAGCATTGTTTCCAAACAAAAATACAATAAACTAATTTATAATTTCAGAAAACATTTTTTGAATATTTGTTTGTAAACATTTCTAATTACAACTTTGACAACACAAATCTAGGTTATAAAGTCCAAGCTTCTTTTGTGTAGTAAAAGGTGACAGAGTTTGAAAGAAAAATCTATTGTTCCTGATATAAATCAATGCTTAAACCATGGATACTTACCATGTGGCACAATATTACAAGGCATTAACATGCAAAATCACAACCTGCCATTTCTTACAGACAACCACTGTCGAACGGGGATGACATAAAAATACAATGGTTCATCTATTTTTGTGGTGTCTCATAACTAGTTTTATATGCATTTTATTAAATTTGAATATAACATACCTTAGTAATCAGTCTTTGGCTCTATTCCTGACGCTTTCCTTTCTCTTCCATGCTATTTTGTAAGGAAAATATGATATGATATCTGAATATCGAAACGTTTCGTTAGTGATCTCATCCGCTAAATTCCAGGAAATGTTTGATTACAATTGTGAAACCTGTGTTCATAATTTCTCTATTATCACGACTATTCCATTCATGTTCGCTCTAAAATTTGAATGAAGTCCCTCATTTTTAGACTTTTTATAATTTAGAATGCAGATTTCATGGCTGTTCACTTGATTTCTCACTAATTTCTCTGTTTCTCACTCTATGGCACATTTAAAAACATGACCATCGCGAGGATTATTCATGGGATAATTACAAAATGAGCTGTAATTGGTATGGCAATATTTGGAGAAGGATAAATGGAAATTGAACAATAAAATTAATAACACAAAATAAATGAGTTTTGGTTTCAATGGACATTATTTGTTGTACAATATTCAGAGAGTGTTGACTTGTTTTTGAAGTCCCAAGAATGAGATATCATATAAAAATTTTAAATATTTTTAAAAATATTTTATATAATTATAAATTTATAATACATTGTAACCTGTTCTAAAAGTAGAAACGTGTTACATCTGTATAGCCAGTCAAAACTATTATGAATGATAAAAATGCAAAGAATGTAATGTTTATTTGTCTATTACAGGAAAAATTCTTTAAGCCGATTGGTCAATCCAGACATGCAGTTAGTGAACGGAGCTCTAGGGGCATCACCTGGTGACCTTGAAACTATGAAACAAGAAATACTAACAGAAATGAGACGGGAAGTGCAAAAGGCTAAAGATGAAATCATAGAAGGTAATACAATTCATCTTATCATTATTTTGAAACTGAATAGTATGGAAAAACAAAGAGAGTAAACCCAAATAAGTAAAAATACACAAATTAATTCATTCATTCTCCTAAAGGTAGTTAGCATTCCCAATGGGTGCCAGGACTCATAGAGATGACTGTTCACCAATTTTCCCAAGTGGGTTGTTCTTAACACCCCTCCCATTGGTTTATGTGCAAATATTGCAGTCTTAAAACTTTGAATACTTTACATAATTTTTGAAGCAATTTTTACATGTTAAAGTATATGATTGTACCCCATGATTAAATTATAAAGTATATATACCAAATTATTTTTCTTATTGCAGTCATAAAAATTGAGCTTGGTAGGCGTTAATCATATGGAACAAGCGGATCCTTGTATCGGGAAATACTAATACTAATTTTCTGTGTCGAGGAGTTAAATGTAATATATGCTTAGACAGTGCTGGTCACGTGGTAAGCCGTCAGCCAATCAGATTACATGACAAATCGACTAAGTCAATAAAAAGTCACCAATGTGAATAGTTGCACATGAATGTCATTGACTCTTAACATTGTGATTAACAGAGCATGACATGGGATGACATCACATGATGACATCATACAAGATGACATCATAATGGAGTTATTACATCATAATTATTAAAATTATAGTGGTATCTTAACAAAAAGTGAAAATGCCATGTTGGCATATTTTAACAACATGATTGCAGTGGGCACATATAGATGGAGCTAATGTTGTATGGACCAACGTGATCGTTATCAAAGGAAAGTGCAGTTGTAGAAAACAAATGAAGCGAGTGGATAATGCAATTATTTGTTATTTAAAATAATGAATATTTAGGGTAAGAGGAGCTGGAAAAATACGAGACAACATGTGGGATATATGACGTTCACTAATTCCGAATCACACTTGCATACCATATATGGCTCTTATTTGAATCTAAATGACTGTTTTGACTTTCATGCAAGAAAAACACCCTTCGTAAAAACTACAATATGTAAAGGTGATGGAATGTTTAATTGGAACATCTCTGTAAGCTGCCAAATAACTAGATATAAACTAAACATTATTGTTTGGAATTTGGAATGATTCCCTGTCAGTTTAATATCATACATATGGATAAGGATATTACTTCAGATTTTCTACTATGATATGAGTTTATAATGTAAATGTCACAAACATTTTACTAAATAGGATAATAACACAAAGAAATCCATCAGATTCAATATCATCTTATAAAAGTCATAGATATCGCAACAAATCGAATGAAGTTTATTTTTTATATGCTTAGTTGAATTCAGTTTGGTAGCACCATAGAGATGATAGTGAATTCTGAGCATTCTGAGAATTCTCCTGCATACAAGACAGTAATAGGTTCTAGTGAATATATGTGTATGTGCCTTTTATTCAATGTTCAATATTAAAAGTACTTGTATATGTCAGTCATCACATTGAGAAATAGTTTTAAGGTAGCTCTAGTGGAAAGTCGCTAGATTATTCATTGCACTTTGCCCACCTTAAGGAAGGAAATGTGAGGTTGGAGATTATTCATTGCACTCCGCCCACCTTAAAGAAGGAAATGTGAGGTTGGAGATTATTCATTGCACTCCGCCCACCTTAAAGAAGGAAATGTGAGGTTGGAGATTATTCATTGCACTCCGCCCACCTTAAAGAAGGAAATGTGAGGTTGGAGATTATTCATTGCACTCCACCCACCTTAATGAAGGAAATGTGAGGTTGGAGACAGCTGCATTCAAATAGAAATATTAAACACTGTAGATTGGTTTAATTTGGCATTTGAGCCATTTTTGGACATTGGAAACTTTTTATCGTGGCTAATTCTTGTGAATATCCCAAAAATACCATAGGATAATAATGAAATAAATTATGGATGAAGACTTGAATTAGCAATCTTCTACAAAATTTGCAAAATCTCATGTATTAAACCAGATATTGAAATTAAAGCAATTTACAGTGACTCAGTACAGCATCTTGGGGAACCTGTCTCGATATGAGCGATGTTGTCCAATATAGTATTGTCCAGATTACTGAAAAACTGCCAATTATTTGTTCAATCAGCCCATGTAAAATATTGGAGTTTTCGGGCTGTGGAAGCATGAGATACAATATATATAGTACTTTTGTCTTAGTTCAGAATTACACAAACACAAAACATTTGTAATGTACAGTATGTTTATACTCCAGATATCACCATAGTTACACAGTTAACTAACAGTGTATATGTACATACATGCGTTGAGTTTTTATACAAGGCAGTACAGTGAAACCTGTCCATGTGAACACCATTAGTACGTACATTCTTTCAAGCAAGCATTTATTCTCCTTCTCAAATTATGTTATTTTCCTTACAATGAAACATTGCCTTGCCAGAGGACACATCTGTCTTCGTATAGGGGTTGAACACACCTGAGGAAAATGTGTGTTTACAATATAAAGGTTTCACAGTTATTGGAATGTCCATATTTGGTCATTTGGAAGTCTTGCATCAATCTCTGCACTGACCTTTGTGCATGTCTGTAAAAAGGAGGTGGTAGCACAAAGACTTGATGGAAGACTACCTGATATGTGTTTTATACAGTAAGATGCTTCACTAGTCAATGTTAGATTTGACTGAATTTTTTTCAAACTTAATTTAGCTTGCGTCAGGTTAATGTTGGACCTTAAATGTTTCCTCCTTTCAAAATTCAGGGAGTTATTAACAGAAACTTTGTAAATTTAAGAATTCGTAAAATCCATTGTTCACTAACTGTGATGTCATTATATCCATGGTTACAACAATTTATTTACGAATTCATTACTTTACGAAGCTTCTGTTAATGACTCCCCGAATCAAAAATATTAAGTACATATTACCATGGTAATCACATTCTTTGAATGCACTTTAACTTATCAGGAATTTTTCCTGGAAACAAGTCAATCTTGATCTTGTCCTGCATTTGGAAGATGTGAATGTCATTTTAGAATTAAATATCGTCGATATTCTTGAGAGCCAATTGAATGGGAACAGCCTAAGGGTATATTTGTAGTAACTTACAACAAAGACATATTCCTGTTAAATATGTTTCTGCTCAGAGTACAGAGAAACAATCTGATATAAATGTTAATGAATTTTGTCTCTAATATAGTTCCATTGTTTATACTGGTTTATATGTCTCACTTTTATGTGTAAAATACAATGTTCAATTTTCTCTATATTGAGTAGACTAGTGAAATAAAAGTGCATGCATTATGTGTAAGTAATGCATAGTTATACAATCCAATGAGAATCCTGGGGTCACATTATGTGTGAGTAATGCATGGGTATACAATCCAATGAGCATCCTGGTTACTGGGGTCTTGTTCTTCAAAAGTTGTATTTTTGAATGTCAAGGTGGGCATGTTAAAAATGATTAAGAAGTTAATAAGAAATAAAAACCCATGAGTTATATAGTAATTTATATGTTGGTGCAGAAATGTATAGTCTTGTCAATTTCTCACTTTGAAAATTTCCCATAATCCATTTTTTGAAAGTCAAACATCTTAGAATTGTCTACCAGTAATGCCCAACTTCCAGATGAAAATTCTATCATGTCTGATTTTCCTGTGTTAAGGATTGTGGGAAATTATACCAATTTGATCTTCTTGTGCAAAGGATTATGGGGAAAATAGTGTTACAGATTTTTGAAGGAAAATGAAGAGGATAAAATACCCCATGGTTCTTAGAAGAACCTTTCTCTATGGAAAGATTATGAGGATCTTGATTGTATGGAGATGGGTTCATCTATGAATTCTGGGATATCCCCTCATAGAGAAATTGTATGAGGGATGCATCACCATAGTAACAATCAACATAGGTAGAAAACAAACTGTTCCTAAATTAACATGGCCACCTTGATTTCATTATTGTTCAAATGTTATCGAAATATGTTATAAGCAAACGTGTTTTGTCAATTTTTTACAGATATTATTGTTCTATGTTAAACAATTCAATTGTACATGTGAGCATGTTAATTAACATGTATGTGTATTTGACATTACTGAATTATCAGTACTGGTGTAAAACATGCTTGTATGAAATTCCATGAAGTTGTAATATGTAAGTATTGAATTATAATATAAATGATCTTTGCAATATTTATAACACAACAATGGAGTTTGTTGTTTATTATTTGCCATATCAGAGCTCTAAAGTGTTTACTGGATCGTTCTTGTTCATTACTTTTTGCTTGCATAGTACAATAACGTCATTTCTAAGGGCAATATAGTGAAATAATGGACCGAGGGCCGAAGGCCCAAGGTCCAATATTTCACTATATTGCTCGCAGAAATGACATTATTAGTATTATTACCACCGTTAACGACCAGGACTGAGACAGCAAGAAAATCTTACGCATTGAACGATACTAGTATATAATTTCCCGGGGAAAATTGCCAGTCCAGAATATATTCTAGACCGGTCCATATGGACTACCACTATGATGTCACACATTTGTCAGGTCGATATAGTAAAATGAACGCCTTCTAAACTAGCACTAAAACCCCTAGAACTTATCCCGTTCCCGGACTATAGTCCTGCACTGATCGCATTCATTTGCCTGTACGATTACAACTTGGGAGAATTATCTACGCCCCTTACACTTAAGATACCTACCTCAATGCATTATAGAACTCAAGATGTAACTTCTAATATATTGGAACCGCCGATTGTCTGGGTATATCGGCAGAACGGGAACATTTTCTCTTTTTCATCGAGAGAGATTCCATCACTTTTCAAAATGGCGGTTGGATTTAAAAGGGGAATCCCCCGTTTGGCTGTCCCGGATGTAGCCCGGAAGTACCAATATGGAGGAATTTGACGGTTGAAATAAGTTAAATGTTACACGCAAATATTGCGATCAAAAACGAAAATGTCTTCGTTCTGCCGATAAACCCAGACAATTGTGGATTCAACTACACGAAAAGAATGCTAAATTACCAAGGAATCTATTGAAGTAGGTATCTGAAGTGTAAGATCAGTAAAAAATTCTCCCATGTTGTAATCGCACAGGCAAAAGATTGAGATGTTCACAGGACCATAGTCCAGGGATAACCTAGAACTGGCCCGGCAAGGTGGTAATAATGAATAATAATGCAACACCTCAAAGAAAACACTGCAAACAATAATCAATATATAATGATCACAATCTTAATGAATTATATTGAGGATTCAATGATTTAAGTACACAAATACTGGTTGAGACTTAATCAACTAATGTTTTTCTGGGAATAGGGCAATACCTGGAATGAATCTCATAATATTCTGTAAAGGTTTGTTGTTACTACACCTATACTATACCGCCATCTATATTCGGTTCTCTTTGTCCTTGAATCTTATCCAATCAGCATCGAGCCCGCCAAGCGTCAGTTGAAAAGTTGTAAATGGAGAATTAAATTCTCGCCTGTTTATTGGACATTTTCACCGATTTAGAGTACCAAGTCACTAAATTTAGGTAAGTTCTTGAATTTTGGAATATCGAAGATGATTTTAATGTTTAAAATAATGTGCTAATTATCCGATCGCTACTGTAAACTGCAGTAAAAGGCTGCGGAATTATCCAAATATTCTTTGTTGACCCAGAAAAAAGGTCAAGTTGCTCAGCTGTACGTTTGTTGTGAATTTCCCCTTCAATTCTCATAAATGTTTTGACTTGAATAAGTCTGTATTGCAACGAATAATCAACAATCTAAATTGCTATATCTAAATACGTATATGATGTATCATTGCAAAAGAAATATTATAACAAATAGTAGAATTTTAAACCGGAAGTTGTATTTTCCCTCACAAAAGTTGATCGAGTCTCAAAACAAACACTCCGGTCAAATTATTTGTGGAAGTAGCAGGAGCTCTGCAACTTGTACTAAAGATGTTTAAGCTACTTGATGCTAACGATCTATAGTAAATATGTGTCCAGATCTATAGAGATATCAAGTCGTCTTTTAGGCTATTTTGTCGTTGCTGTGTTTTCTATGGTCGTTTCAGCAAAATCGGTTTGACCTATGTCAATTTTTTGAGAAACTTTTTCTCAATGGTTTCCATGTTGCCTGTTGTTCTTAGATTTTATTTTGTCTATTATCAGAAATTCTAAGGGAACTCCTGTTAGTGTATTGGTGATGGGGCGATGTTATGCGGTGACTGTAGCCTGCTATTCGACTCCAGAATAGAGTAGTAGTTACATAGGCCTAGAGGGACTTATATAGGGGTTATATTAGTCTAGCTCCAATACTGTGACCCCCCTCTCTACTAGACTAAACGCCTTCTCACACAGAATGTTGGGAGGTGTTAAGGGTAGGGGGTCACAAGGGCTTGTAGCCAGACTAGGGTTATATGTGACAACTGGGAATTTTGAAATGAGTTGAAACCATACCATGTCCATGATCTATTTATACATATGGGTTTAATTATATTCTATTCAAATTCTCTCTATATCTGCTTCAAATAGGCTTATTAACCTTTTGATTATTGGCATAGGACAAAGATTTCATGTAAAACTAACAACTTTTCAAGTTACAACTCATTGTTACAGGACATTATTTATCTCTGATCATTCTATGTCGTGGTTATTTTCTTAGTTTAGTTCGTAGTTTAGTTCAAATCTAATGAATTTGAGCATTATCTTCTCGATCTCAGCTCCCAACATTTTTCTTTTCTTTCTCCTTCATCCTTCAAGCTATATTGGTATATAATGAATTTGCATCACACAAAGATATGCATTCTGATATAATTAGATGCAATTGAAAACTACACATTCTATATACATGCATACATTATTTCAATTAGGGGTAATTCATAACATATGTCTTGGATCATGTGGGACCAATATAGTTTCACCTGTTGTTAGAAAGACAAGTACTGTTATCATGGGCTTTCAACAGAAAGTCTATGGCATTATCATCCCTATCATTTCTCCCTTGGATTTCAAATGAGGTTGCAAAATGCTCATTTTCATGATTTTTCTGTTTGTGCTTTGCTATTCTAGCTACAAGTTCCTCCCACTACTTGACTACACACCTCACACCTGTATACTGGGAAGGTGTTTAGGGGAGGGGGGCTCACAAGGGCCTGTAGCTAGACTAGAGACTTGCATATATTATACATAGTGCAACATTTCCAGGATTACTAGTAAACTCAACAAAAGGTGGATAGGTCAATTGGTTGAATGTTCTAAAATCCAATTTAAAGCGTGACTGTGTTTTCATACAACTAAGTTTTACAAAAACTATTGCATGAAAAGTATATGCTTATACATAAAATCCAATTGATTTATGCTGGATTAGAAAGGCCTTGTGCCAAAAGGAACAATAGTAGTCTGGTCGTATTAGAACTGGTTTCTGGTAATAACTTCTGTGAAAGTAGATGTAATGTGAGTCCTGTCAGGTCTGGTTTAGGTGTCAGCTTGGCTATTCATGGTGGCTCTTTTTTCTTTATGTTAGTAAGTGGTAATTTTCTGTAACTACTGGTAACCAATATTAATTCATATTGTAAATCTCCCCAATTCAAAAAGAATGTACAAATTGATTTGTTTTAAAATTTGAAATACGCTTTTAAGGTTCCATATTTTATTTGATCATTAGTTGTTATTCTTGTTAACACCATATGGCAAATATACTTCACTTTTATCCCTGTCTGTTGAACACAGTTTCTCAAGTAGATTTCAAGTCAATTACTTACATTTATATGTTATACCAATTATGTTCAAAATATGGAGAACGTTCCATAGTATTTCAATTCATGGAGGCTTTATACTAGTGTTGTAACTCGCGGGGATTTTTGGAATCGAGTAATTCGCGTGATTTTGAGTCTGAGATCGAATAAGAATCGCGATTTTTCATCAAAAAAATAAACAAGAAAAAATCTTACCATTGCATGTCATATGGTAGTTTTTTAGTCCTTTTTTCAATTTTCAATGTTGTTCACTTGCACAATACCCTAGGTACGCTAGGTATATCAAGAGTTGTCCATACCTACCGATTTAAATAACATACTTAATTACGACAAAAATTGAAATATTGTTTATTTTATGTTTCCCGCCACACATTGTTGCAGCACTTTCATTTCCGGTTCTACGGACTGAATTAATCATGGGATTAAAAAATAGACTCAAAAATATTTCATTTAAATTAGATTTATTACTCATATTCATTCAAATAAAAACAAATGATACACGGAACAATCATTTGTACATAGTTTCACCCTGTTTGTAAGAAAAAACAATGCATTTGACGCCAGGATTCGCTGTGAAATCGCGAATACGAATACAAATTCGCGAGTCTCAGACTCGTGTAATAATTCGCGAAATCTGAACTCCTAATCGAGCCGAATTCTATAACACCTTGGCGAGACGATTCGATGACTACGTGAGTACTTATCTACACCACTACTTTATACTATTGACCAAAGCTACGAAAGGGCATCTGACCCCCAGCTGCCTGAGGTCTATAACATGCTTCTTGTACTTGTAACTGATATGCAGTTCTAGATTGTTGATATAGGATTAGATATCATTAAAATCATACATGGAATGATTAGTAAAATCATCTTTATACCCTCATATACTGATAGAAGGGATAGGGGTCAGGAATAACAAGTACATGAAGGATAATGATATGATGCTTCCAAATATATTGGCAAATGTTTCACTTAATTGTGTGCTATCTTTCATATTTGTAGCCAATGATTCATTCACATCTAAACTATGGTTATTGCAGATAAGATATCCTAATCAGAAAAGCCATGTAAACTTGCATGTGGATCAATTAGTATAGTAGCATTTGGAGTACATTAATATGCAGTGCATAGGGGTAATCTACCCCTTAAATGTTTTAATTATGCATCCAGTGAGCTTATCCTGTACACAAGTATGTTGTGCTTTAATTATATCATGGTTTACACTGTAAGCTTAACATTTAAACTATTAAACTTTGACATGGACCTGGGCCAAATTTCAGTTTGATTTGGACAAAGTGTCTTTTTTGCCAACCAAAGCACAATAGGTTCCCAACCTTTAGAAGGGTAAAATGCCAGATTTTGTAATATAAAAATATTTAACCATGTAATCATAGTCTGCATTATAGATATCCTCTCATGGGTCTCCTAGACTTCCACAGATGTGATCATCAGTTCTGACCTCATAAACTATGTTCCTTCAACCCGAACCACGGTTCTAATGATGCGAATATTGATTCTTTAGTCGCAAACCACTGGTTTGTCTCTCCCGAACATATTTTTCCACTTGCACTCCGAATTCCCACATCACGATTTGGGAACTCCATTTGCAGGTGGAGAAATATGTTTGGGGAATTAGGAATTGGTGGTTCGTGACTAAAGAATCGACAATCACATTTTGAGGACCGTGGTTCGGGTGGAAGGAACATGGTTCGCAATGTCTGAACTGATGATCACATTAGTGGAAGTCTAGGAGGTCTGTCTCACCTATTGCTACCTCCTTGGCATATTATTTTCAAAGTTCTCATTAATTCAGTCTCATCTAAATGTTAGAGAAAAGCTGGCCAATGAAATTGAAAATCTTATCTAGGGCTCTACTCCCTGAAATCCTTTATAATCATAAAAATCCTAAAATAAATGTAGCACAAAAATTACATTAATGTAAGGGCAATGCTTTCACAATGTTCTGATAGCCATCAATAATTACTGATTCAAATAATTAACATTAGATCATATTACTGTAATAGTGTATGTCTATACATAATACAAGCTATTTGTTAGGTTTTGAATGACAAGGTGTGCCTACCTATCAATCAGTTATTTCATTTTGGCAAGGTAATATGAATGTACTGAAGGTACTGAATGTAATCACAGACATGTAAATACACATACATATACTTGAAATTTCCATTAATTTAACTGTGAAGCCGGAGAGATGGGGAGACGTTGGCTTTGCCTTGTTAATACATATTTGAAAAATGCAAATTGATACTGTTCCAAAATTCCAGTTGGTAAAATCCATGTTGAAATTCTTTGCCAACAAAATGCAAATTGAATGGCGCTTTTGAGTGTTGAAAAAAAGATTAACTGCTCAGAAAGCGAGTGGTTTTATCCCCTGGTCAAATATTAGTCTTTGATTTTGTTTGACCTAAAGAAAGGAGGCCAGTTCTATGGAATACATGAAAGTGCCTGACAAATTATTATTGGAGGTTTAACATATTTCCTGTTTTACTTGAAAATGATTATTCCAACAATGTGAATATTCAGGTTTTTCTCTCATGGGCAATGTAGTGTATATGTATTTAAGATTATACTGTGTAGTATTACAATTTACTATATAACTTTTATTGACATATTTTATCAAAATGAAATACATTGGTCAAAACTACTCACCCAAAGAGTAACTAACAAAACTCCATCTACAAACAGTACATTTACAGAATATGCACAATTTCATATGCAAATATTGAAAGCATACAAGAGAGACAAAATATGAAAACCAGCAATGATTATACTTAAAGTCCCCGTCTAAAGTTTGAAAATATTTTTTTATCATTCATTTACTATTTTTCAGGACTTAAAAAGTGATTTTAGAGATTTTTGAACAAAAAAAATTTTTGAAAAAAAAAGTTGTGAGCATTTCATTTCTCAAATATTCAAATTTCCCGCCATTTTTCAAAAAAAGTTGAAATTTCTTAATCATCAAATATTTCTTAATGCATTTTAAAAAATATTATCTTTTTAACACCAATGCAAAGGTTGAACAAAGGACACACTATTTCAATAATAAAATGCCATATTTAATAGACCACTTTAATGTTTTAGCATATCAAAAATATTTTGAAACATTAGTGATGTCACTAAGGTACCAAAAACTTTTTGAAAAAATTTTTTTTTTCGATGTCAATCTTTTCTAAATATGTTAGACTTTCATAAAAAACCAATGTTGATTGTCTAACCAGGTTAAAGGGAAAAATAAATTATGTTTTAGATATCATTGTACCATTGGTTTCTATGAGAACTAAAATTTTGAAATGCATTTTTCTCAGAACCATTTTCATGCACTGATAAGTTCATTTCTCGCTTATATGAACCGATTTTCTTAATTTTTTCGGCAAAAAACACGGGAGGATGAATGCTATGCATTGGTATAAATTGTGGCTAATTAGAAGGTATGAGTGACCTCTACAAGTTGGTTTTAAATAAATTCACAAATTTTGGAACAAAAAGTCTATCAAAAACCACTTTTTGAAATTAAAAAAAAAAGTTTCACATATCACACTTTGATAACATTGGGTAAGACTACAATATAAGCCAAAGTGGTTTAAACTTTGTACGGGGCCTTTAACTAGATTTCATATGCAAATTTTATCATTCAAGTGCCCTGGATGCTAATATTGCAAATACAGTACAGTGTATGTGTTTTTAAGTTTTGTCTTTTATTGTTTACTAAGATATCATTTGAATTATTTAGATCCATAAACAACGGATTAAACCCTTTTGTTGTTTTTTTAATTTCCTGCCCCGATCCCATCCAAAAAATTGTTGGTAAGGTTGATTTTCTAATCCTAGACTTTCGTCCTTTTGTATTCTCTAGCAGTGCAATAAATGCATACTCTTTTACCTTACTGTTTTAGGCATTTTAACAACTTTTTTTGTCTTGAAAAGTTGCAATGTTTGACTTATGCTCAATGACACTATTCCATTGACTAATATATTGACAAAAAAGGTTTTAGCAATCTCAATAACAATGTTTCAGCATGTAATCAAACAAATGTAAAATCTATATTCATCAGTCTTTCAACAAGTCACGATTTAGACTGTAAAATATTGAGATTTTTTATTTATATAAGTATTGTACATATCATCCTCCTAAGCAGGTATCCAGAATCCGTACCTCCTTCCCCCTGCTATAACCAATTTGGAAGCGCCCGATTAAACTGAATCACGTGATCTAATTATGCGCAATGACTTATACAAAGTTTCTGCCGCAGTGTTGCGACAGCCAATCAGAATGCGAGTTCTCGGAGGATGTGTACATATTCTCTTGAAGTCTTGATCCCTATGCAGAATTATTCCTCTGAAAGTGTGTGTCAGCCATAATCAACCTTTTCAATTATTTAACAAATCAAGAAAGACCATTATTACCTGGATTTAAATCCCTTTTATACATTATACTTTTTATGAAGATCTGCTATTCATATCAAGATATTGTTTTCATTATTTACAGGTTGTGACCAAAAACAATGAAAGTCTACCTTGTCGACATTAAACTGTCATCGATGGTAAAATGTGTTTTATGAAGGTCCCATTATTAGACAAAAGAGGTTGTCAAGGACTCTCTCATAAATCAGAATTTGTCTATTGTGTTGATAATTGATATTTTATCTGTTAAGTTCATTGGCACCAATATTTTTGACAACTATTACTTTTTTGCATATACAGAAACCGGTATCTAATTTTTTTTAAATTGTGATTTACAGTGTATATATATATATATTGCACATGTAGTTGTATATATTAATGTTTGTAACGTATATCTATGTTTCTATTTCAGTTTTCTTGTAGTTAACAAAAGTGACCAAATAAAATGCCAGGCACCCCTACACGTGGAAAGGTATATGACTTACCTGTAGTCTAATTACTACAGTTGATGTTACATGGCAGACTAGCGCAACATACTTTCTCATTTAAACTCCTTAAAAATGGCAAATCATCCAGCGTCAAATATGTTGTCTTGCTTTAAGCAAATTTTAAGTAAAATGTAATTGGGATTATAAACCATGAAATGAATATTAGTCCAAATTTAATAGTTTGGTATATCCTACTGAATCACCTTGTTGTTTTATTGCCCACCTAAAGATAATGTTTTAAGGAGTTTAAATGAATTTAAAGGCCTTGTTGTGCAAGTCTGTTTCTTATTTAAATGTTTCTGTTGTTGCATGGCCTTCTGGTCTGCTTTACTCATGTAATAACTTCATCATTAACACCGCTATATTTATTGTTAATAGGATCACCTATAATAAGACTAACAATCACGATCCAAAATGCCTGATGAACACACTGTTGGGGACGCAGTTTATGCCAAATGGCCACAAACAAACCTTTGGTTCCATGCTACTGTAGTCAAGTCTAAGAAAGGTTATGTCACTGTGCGTTTTAATGATGAGGATGCGACAGTCGAGACACTCCCCGATAAATTTGTCTCAGTGAGTGCATGGCTTTATTTTGTTTTATGTTGCCTTTCCGTTTCCAGTAGATTTTTTCATTAGGCAGTCTTTGATTTGCAAATCTATATTTAATTTATCCCATTCTTATACATAGTTAAACTTATCTTAGTGAAGGCCTTGCTCTAGTGAACACCTCTTCTCAGTACATACTCCATCGATTTCTGTATAAAATTACCTCTCGTAGTTAACACCTACATTTCTGAACACAATTTTGTGGCTCCATCAGTGTTCCCTGTACACAGGTTTTACTGTCGTATCATAGTTAGACATTCATCAACGTTCATTTTTTCGAACTATGATTTTGCTGTCTGCACTAAGTTAATAAACCTTCATATGAAATCATAAAAGGTGAAAAGCCTTCTTTAAAGCAAGAGCTTTATCAACCTCTGGAACTTATTTATAAGTTTCTTTCTTCTAAGAAATAGAGTTAAACTTGACCTTGTAGCCTTTCAGTTTAAGGATAATCTATCTCTATTGAGTATCCTGATCTGTCTCTTCGATATACTTCCTCATATTTTTTTCTAATTTTAATGAAATGTACTAACACACGGTAAATGTTTTAATTGTTTTATTTCGTTATACTTTTCCTCCATCAAATTAATGTTTTATGTACTATCACTTGAATTTGACATTATAATTAGTCCTAATAACAACTTTGATCTTTTGCATATTGTAAAGTTAAAAATAGTTGATTAATTGTATATTCTTAAAATCTTACATGACAAAATCTATATTTTAAAATTGTTGTATTAATATTGACTTGTGATTTTGTTGTGTTATAGGCTGAGGGCAGGTTTGCCCGTTCAGGTTCCAAGTCTCCAGGACGCAAACGATCACGCTCTCGCAGTAGAGGCAGGTCACCAGGTGAGTCACATGAATTTTTACAAAAAAATCTAGATATCATGACTTTTCCTGTAGTTTTAGCAGGGTGTCTCTTAGGCTATTTGAGGAAGGTCTGGTTCATTGCTTTAATTTTCTCCCAACTCTTACCTCTCAAATGAGTAATACATTTTTCCCACTTTATTGTATTAAAACAATATTTGCTGTAGGTCGTAAAGTGAAGGCTAGCCCTTCCCCTGTTAAGAAGACCACCACCTCCACCAGGACAACCACTTCCACCAGATCCCGTAGCAGATCTAAGACACGCGTCATGAGAGCTGAAACTCCAACCAGGCAGTCTGCCAGAATACAAGCTAAACAAATAGCAGAGGTATGACTTTTTGTTACTATGCAGTCACATTTATTTTATTTGGAGTACCCAAATGCTTGTTATATTTACTGTCATTAACAAATATTATATGGAGAGCGCAAATGGTAACATAAGAAAGATCAAAATAATATGTCACCATTTTTAAGTACCAAAATATAGTATAATCAACTTTGTCTTCGTTTAGGGAATAAGTATATGGTAGCATTCACAAATTCAACTTACGGCTTAAAGTTTAATCATCTATTTTAAACCATTAGCCAGCAGTTGAATTCGTGAATGCTTCCTAAATATTGATACTTTGATCAAAATGAAGGCAATTTAGTAATTGTATAACCCCTCCCCCTCCCATTATATAAGTAAGCAGTATTGAAATCTCCACAACTATTGACAATTGAACATCATAGTTATATTTGTATCGGACTAATAATATATAATGTAATGTAGTAATTGGACAACTACAGTGTAATTATATATATCTGCATGTAATGATCTATCTAATTAGCACATATTGTCACCCTCTATTCATGCCAAATGCTTATTTTGTCATTTTAGTCGCACATAATACACATTGCTTGCTTTGATATGTTAAAGGTAGTTGCTCTAACATCTTGCTAGCCCTTTTGATATGATTCCATTTAAGTTTACTAGCTCGATCTACTGTTTTATAATGGATAAATATGAGTTTGACAATGAACAGTGAACCTACCATATTTCGAGCTGAAATAATAGATGTTTACTTCTTGTTTTTTATTTCAGTGCCTGTCAAAAGTGGTCTTTGTACCTAGGTCACTTGATCATTCAAAAAAATGGCGACTGAAAAGAAAAATTATAGATCTTCTTCTTATATATTCGACCATTTGGCATCGTTCTCGACTCCTTCTTATGAATTGCATACCAACCAGATATTCAGGAAAGACTGACTTCTGGTCTCATTGATGTTGTAAACTGTGATATTATTTCAATAAATAATTGTAAACACATAATACTATATTTTCCTTCAATTGGCATTACAATAGTCAATAAATAACTTGAAAATGAAGATATTTTAATTAATTATTTAAAGTCCCCGTCTAAAGTTTGAAAATATTTTTTTATCATTCATTTCCTATTTGTCAGGACTTAAAAAGTGATTGTAGAGATTTTTGAACAAAAAAAATTTTGAAAAAAAAGTTGTGAGCATTTCATTTCTCAAATATTCAAATTTCCCGCCATTTTTCAAAAAAAGTTGAAATTTCTTAATCATCAAATATTTCTTAATGCATTTCAAAAAAGATTATCTTTTTAACACCAAAGCAAAGATTGAACAAAGGAAACACTATTTCAATAATAAAATTCCATATTTAATGAGCCACTTCAATGTTTTAGCATATCAAAAATATTTTGAAACATTAGTGATGTCACTAAGGTAACAAAAACTTTTTGAAAAAAATTGAATTTTTTTTTTCGATGTCAATCTTTTCTAAATATGCTAGACTTTCATAAAAAACAATGTTGATTGTCTAACCAGGTTAAAAAGAAGAATAAATTATGTTTTAGATATCATTGTACCATTGGTTTCTATGAGAACTAAAATTTTGAAATGCATTTTTCTCAGAACCATTTTCATGCACTGATAAGTTCATTTCTCGCTTGTTTATCAACTGATTTTCTTAATTTTTTCAGCAAAAAACATGGGAGAATGTATGCTATGCATTGGTATGAATTTTGGCTAATTAGAAGATATGAGTGATCTCTAAAAGTTGGTTTTAAATAAATTCACAAATTTTGGAACAAAAAGTCTATCAAAAACCACTTTTTGAAATTAAAAAAAAAAGTTTCACATATCACACTTTGATAACATTGGGTAAGACTACAATATAAGCCAAAGTGGTTTAAACTTTACATGGGGCCTTTAAGATAAATGTGCATGGTCTATTACGTCATAAAAATCCGGAAAATTTGAAACAGCCCGTTTGGAAAAAGGTCCATCCAGAAAGCCAAGGGAAAGACTTCCTGAATAGAAACCATGTAGCCTATGTTTCATTCAAAACTTTTCACAAGTGATCAAGACGAATCTCTTGATTGCTTAGAATGATTATTGACGAATATGTCCGGTGATGAGATGTTAGAGCAACTACCTTTCACGATGAAAGTCATTGTATTTCTTTAAATAAGCTACTTGCACTGATGCATACTGTTCTTCCTATGATTTTTTCCCAAGTGGGTGAAAAGTTCTCAGTTTCACAATTCAGATCGAAATTGGTCAAAATATATTTTTCATGATTGTTCTCCTTTTCAATAGGTGCAAGCCTCTTTTCAAATCTTAAGTGGGTGCAGTCCCCACATCTGTCGTCCCACTTGTTAAAATCCTGGGGAGACCATTTATTAAGTTTTGTGCGTGACAATAACTAAACATGTTAGCATGATTTTCTATATTCATTATCCCATCGAACGAAGTTCGGAGGGATATAGGGAACGCCTCCGTCCGTCCGTCCGGGCAATAACTCAAATACCGTTGGCCCGATTTTGTTCATATTTTGTACACATATACCCTATGGGGGTAGAAGTTCTGCTCGAAAGCCAATTTTCAAAATGGCCGCTCATTTCAAAATGGCGGCCATTTTAGTGCCGATTTTACAGTAATTTAGGTGCAATATGTAAAACTGTAATAGCAATATGTTTTAAATGTAAAAAAATTATAAAGGGCATTAATAATGCTACAAATGTAGATATTAAAAAAGCACATGGCAGCCATCTTGAAAAATGGCGGCCTTTACTCGTCATTTTACGATTTTTGCTGTTACTGAAAAAATAGTGGAGCGATTTTGTTCATATTTGGTATGTGAATACTATAAGCATTGCATACTGTTTAAAGACACTTTTGGTAGAAGGCGGCCATTTTGAAAAATGGCAGCCATTTTGAAAAATGGCCGCCATTTTAACGTATTTTACTATAACTCGAAAAGTAGTGGAGTGATTTTGTTCATATTTGGTATGTGAATACTATAAGCATGGCACACTCTCCTATGACACTTTGGGTAGAAGGCGGCCATTTTGAAAAAAATTGAAATATGGCCGCCATTTTAACATATTTTACTATAACTCGAAAAGTAGTGGAGCGATTCTGTTCATATTTGGTATGTGAATACTATAAGCATGGCACACTGTCCTATGACACTTTTGGTAGAAGGCGGCCATTTTGAAAAAAAAATTGAAAAATGGCCGCCATTTTAACGTATTTTACTATAACTCGAAAAGTAGTGGAGCGATTCTGTTCATATTTGGTATGTGAATACTATAAGCATGGCACACTGTCCTATGACACGTTGGGTAGAAGGCGGCCATTTTGAAAAAAAAATTGAAAAATGGCCGCCATTTTAACGTATTTTACTATAACTCGAAAAGTAGTGGAGCGATTTTGTTCATATTTGGTATGTGAATACTATAAGCATGGCACACTGTCCTATGACACTTTTGGTAGAAGGCGGCCATTTTGAAAAAAATTTTGAAAAATGGCCGCCATTTTAACGTATTTTACTATAACTTGAAAAGTAGTGGAGCGATTTTGTTCATATTTGATATGTGAATACTTTAAGCATGGCACATTGTCTAATAAAACTTTGGGGAGTAAATTTTGAGAAAATGGCCACCATTTTTATGTGTGTTATTTTACAGGTGGCTACTTATTTTAGAGGTGGCTACTTAAAAGCATATTATTTCTTCTGATGACAACTTGGCGAGTGAGCAACCATTTTGAAAATGGTGGCCTTTCTGGTGTGTTGTTTTATGATATTTGCTATTCGTTTGTAAAAATGCCAGCCATTTCTGTTCGATGGGATTCGCTACGCTTTGGCGTTGCAGTTGTTCTGGTTTTTATTATTAATATTTTAATAATATTTCTTTGCTTGATTCAGTTTATATTTTTCTTATGTTGGCTTTGGTAGTGGTGACATAGAAATACATGTACATTCATTACATTCTACATTATGTGTGTGCTACAAATGGAACTCAAATTAAGGTGGCTATTGGCAAAAATAGCCTTTTGTTTCACATACATACGCCCAGTTGCATTCTCTCAAATCTCACTGGAGACACTGAAGATGTGACTAAATTACCCTCCTGTGTTTCCATGTTGTGTTCTTTTCCCTGGTATGTATGCATTGTATGGCTTGCATGATAGGTTATGATTGCTGGGATTGTATAGAAAACTCCCAGTCACTGGCCACATAGCTATATAATGCACTACCCATCGGGCAATGCTTAATGATGGTTTCAATCAGAAACGGCTTATAACCTGAATTGTGGCAAGAATCAGTATGCTTAAAATTTGTTAAATTAAACCCAAAACTTTAAGGTGGGCAGAGTGCGCCAACATTGGAGAGATCACTGAGTGTATTTTAATTACTTGAAAGAAATTGTTATATCGACCCTTGCATCAAGTCTCTATACCACTATCTACTTCAGTTCTACCATTGAACTAAGGTAAATGGGAGAAGGAGGGGGGGCAGGAGGTCACAAGGATCAGAAGCAAGACTGTTTTGATAAAGGAGAAGAAATAAATATTTGTGTCTCATTTCTGCCAAAGTGTGTTTTATTCTATTCTGTATTTTTAACAATATCTGAGTGCAGTGACTATTGTGTGATTCTGTAGGATGTTGTAGATGCTAATGGACTCACCTTACGTACTTCAACTGTCACAAGCGTTACCACGACTACCACTGTCAACAATCATGAGGTTACTATGGCACCAAATTAAAACATTCTCAACTTTCAGTTTGATGTTACTCCGGATCACTCAACTTAAAATGGAATTTTCAAAAATCACCTGTTGTCTGCTGCAAATGAAACATGAATATGTATAAGTTCATAATTGAATCTTCTTTAGTTGAGACTGTTTTAGTTGCTTTTCTTATTTGAGTGTCTTTTCTTTGAATTAGTCTTATATTTTGTTGATCTTATTTCTGTATATAATTTGATATTCCTGATAAGTGTCATTTATAGCACATATACTAACACATGTGTGAAAGGGTCTTGTTTACAGTACGTAGATTTTAGACATGTGTGATGCAACAACATCCTTTAGCGTTAGATTTAAGCTAAGCTGCTCTGTTTTCTGCATTTTTATTTTCCAATAGCATACATATCTTCATCATCCAGTTTATCTCTGTGGTTGCATAATCAAATTTTTTTTGAAAATAGTCCAATTAGACTTGGCATCTACAGAGATGAATTGAGGGCAATGGAGAGTGAATGTATTTGGAGAATGGACTTAATGTTAAATCCTCCCATATTTTGTCTTTCTAGGCCTCAGGAACTACAACAACCACAAAAACATTTGTGGCGGAGGAACTTGTCCAGAAATCTCGGGTTGGAAAAACTACAGAGAAAGATTTTGGTGGAGTGATTGGTACTTTTGTAATGACGCTAGTTATGCCCATTTTCATCATGCATGCTACATTTGTGGCAAATGTAAGTATATTGTGTGTCTAAAACATATTGCATTATGTGTGTCAGTGTTGGAACAGTAATTGTCATTTTTAATGGCTGCATATTTAGGTAATCGGCTTACATATTTTGTTTCAGTATCATAATCTAAATAGAAAAGAGATATTAAACTTATGTAGGTTTTGTACAACACTTCACATTTTGGCTTTTGTTTGTAGAGTGGCTGGGTGATTAAAGAACACAAGCATATTGCTGTGAGAGATTTGGTGGATAGGAGAGCCATTGCCATCTATGGGGGTTGGTTTGTCTTCCAAGCTATCCTTGCTATGTTACCTCTTGGGCGTGTAGTAGAGGGTGTCACTCTCAGGAATGGGACCAAGCTTGAGTACAGGTGTAATGGTATGTGTATTGTAATAGTGTAACTGTTTAGTATGCTCAGTGCTACAGTATTTATGTTTACATGATCTGAATTAGATGAACTAATTCCCTGAAAAGTCCATCTCTACTTGCTGGGGAAATGAAAAGTAGTATGTTAATCTGTTATTTATGACTGCTACCCTCAATTGCAGTTGTCTTATATGTACTATCATGTCCTTGTTTATTATTAGGCTTCATCGCACTACTGGTGAGCTTAGCAGCATTTGGAGCTGCCGTGAAATTAAAGTATCCCGTCACAATTGTATGCGATCTCTTCCCTCAACTGGTATTCACTGGAATCGTATTCTCCATTGTCCTCAGTGTCGCCCTCTATATCAGAGCCAGAGGCTGCAGTAATGCTGCTCTTGCCACAGGAGGAAACTCAGGTTAGTGCTCAAATTGTGGGTCCTCTAATTAAATGAAGATACACCTGTATGTTTTATGTACATGTATTTATTTAAATTCAATATTACAATATAATATAGTAGAAATATGTTAGGGACTAGGAGTCTGGCATTTGTTTTTTACACCCATTTTTTGTTTACCTTTGAATTTACACTTGAAATGATATGACATTAAAAGATATTCATGTATAGATAAGTAATTACTGCAGATCCCATCACTGATATTACAACAAGGATATAGAGGTCAACTTTGGAAATGTTTTCAAGAAATTAACATTGATTTAATAATTAATGAATTCCAGGGAACATCATTTATGACTTCTTCAAAGGCAGGGAGCTAAATCCCCGATGTTTCGGCGGCGCATTTGATCTCAAGTTCTTCTGTGAATTAAGACCAGGATTGATTGGCTGGGTTATGGTGAACTTTTGTTTCATCTCTAAAGACTGCCTGGAAAATAAATACCCATCGTACGCTGCAGTCCTTGTTGCTGTTTTCCAGTTGTGGTATGTTGCTGATGCCCTGTGGTTTGAGGTAAGTCTGTAAATTTTACATGTGATATAAGGAAACTGTTGTTTTAAGGAAGTAAATGGGAAGAAATGGGAGTCAATGGGAGGAAAAAATGGGACCGAAAAAAAGTGTTCAAATTGGAAGGTGTTCGGATTAGCCAGGTGTTCAGATATACAGGTTTTACTGTATGGGCATTCCAACTACAAATGACTTTAAATGAAATTACCATAGTAAAGTTTTGTTCATATATTTCTAGGAAGCCATACTGACAACTATGGACATTGTACATGATGGATTTGGTTACATGTTGGCACTTGGAGACCTTGCTTGGGTGCCATTCCTCTACAGCCTTCAAGTGCGCTTCCTGATAGACAACCCACAGACTTACTCCTGGTACACTCTCACAGGATTCTTCCTGATGAACTGTAAGTAAATCGAGCAATAATCAGGAACCAGTTCCTCAAGGTTGCCAGAATTTTTACATGATAGTTTTATATTTCCGTATTTTGAAATTCTGAATAATAAAATTCTCATCAAATATTTCTAAACATTATATAATTGGACTTTATTTATTGGGAGGGGTTGAACATGAGTTTTATACTTTTGTCCAATATGATATTTTCTGAATGACCAACCCCCACTGTGTTTTGTTTTAGTGATTGGTTTTCTGATATTCCGCGGTAGTAACTCTCAGAAGGATGCGTTCAGGAAAAACCCTTACGACCCAGCCTTGGCCCACCTAGAGAGCATGCCTACAAGTGCTGGTAAACGTCTCCTTGTCTCTGGTTGGTGGGGTATGTGTAGGCATCCCAACTATCTTGGTGATCTCATCATGGCATTCGCCTGGACCCTCCCTTGTGGTAAGTTCGTATGAATCAACTTGTATTAAATTGTCTGATTTTGATTGATGCTTTCAAAAAAGGGTCATCCTAAGATCTCGTGGAACATCAATTTTCAGATAATTTTGGCGGGAATATTTAATATCCAAATCTAATACTTCGTTCCTACTGGTCTTTCTCTCTTTCCAGTTTAGAGATTGTTTCTGGATAATCCAAACATTCCATTAGTTCTTGAGAAATCAACTCATCAAACAACTAGGCTAAATAGTAAATACCAGATACATACGCATTGAGCAAAACTCAATATTTTGTTAAGATGAACGAAGATAATTTTTGACTGTTCATACTTTGCATACAAGTTTTAACCTTTAAACTTACTATTGCAGGATTCAAGTTTGCAATGCCCTGGTTTTATCCACTCTACTTCGTGGTCTTGCTGGTTCACCGTGCCTATAGAGATGACTTGTTCTGCAGGAAGAAGTACGGCACCTCATGGAATAATTACCGTGAGCGCGTCAAGTACCAGATTATCCCATATGTATACTAGAGGATATTAAGTGAAAATCAATGGCACCAAAAATGACAGACATGATCGTAACATACTTCAAATGAATTGAGAAACTGATGATTCACATAAATGGCATCGAAACTATGAAATGTATTTGTTTTACTAGACCATAACTCTGAATTGATTCATGTGAGTCTTATGTAGAATGAGTATTAACTGACACAGTCAAGTATCCGATCCGCTCATATTCTAGACTCACACATCAACATTTAAATCATTAGTTTGATTTTACCATTACATTCAGTGAAATAAATTTATAAATAAAATAAAAAATTTACCATTTCGACAGGGTTAACTCAGAATTTATTATTTTCTGGATCATACATAGATGTAATCTTATAGTTTCTTTGTACTTCAGCAAAGGATTTGAATGTATGCATTATCTTTAAATTCACCTGTATTTTATGACTTACAGCATGATATAACATTATTTTATTGACTCTTAATTATTTTTTATTTACTTACACAATACACATGTACCATCTTAAAGGATGAATTGTATTTTACTGTTTATTTAATACTCTTAATATTAATTAATACAAGGTGTCACACTGCATGGAAACTTTTTGTACTGATTAAGTAGCGTGATACCTCATTATAGTATTATATAAATCAATATATATTCTGTCAACCAAAATTCACTGCCACTTCTATTGACTGGTACAGTCAGCATTGTACATAGCCATGAAAATATTTTGTGTGACTCTGTATTTGGAACAATCTTACTGTTTGTGAGTATTGTTCCAGGCACGATTTTATCATCTTGTAAAAATGTGTTCATTGTTGGAGTATACATAAATTGTATATAGATATATTATACTATTAACTATATACATCAATTTTAGTTTGGGTCATTTTTAAATGTTTTTATATTTTTTGATTGATTATTATTCGTGCATAATTTCAGAAAGAATATTTATCAAGGGTTTGTTATAATGAAAAACTAATAATCTACAGTACAACCTGTCATTTGGAACACCTGTATATTAGGGGAATACATTTTCAGCCAAACTATGGGTGTTCCATCAATGCAGGTTTCACTGTAAGTAACACAATTCCATGTTCAATAAGGTTAAACTAAATGAGATCAATTATTCTAGCCTCAATTAGATATGCTTTATTCAATCCCATAATGACCAAAGAGAATTATTTTGTACATACTTGATGTGGAATGTTGGTCCAGTTTAGGATTTTTAATATTGTATTGTCATTGTTTTCTCTGATTTCACATATTTGTGATAAATTATGGCAAAAATGTCAGAAATCAATTTGATTTAAAAATTCACCAATTTCTGTCTGTTTTGTCTCTTTAGCTGTAAATATCGGAGGAAATGCTAGTAGATTTTTAGTTCAGTATTTTATTTATTTTGAGTTTACATTTTTGTGTCGAGTAAAATAGCATGTGAGCTATAGTATTGTAAATACATGTACTAGAAAACTGATTAAATCTACAGGAAATTCTGTCTTCATGTGGTCGACTTACAATTAAGTTTACAGTACTGTAACTATAAAAGCCGTGAAGACCGAATAGCATGATGTAAATAAACTTTCAACACACCATTTGTTCACAAGTTCAGCAATGCACTGTTAAGGATCATTCATATGAAATAGTAAATGTACTACTATTCTCCTATAGCCAGATTGTTTAATCTTTTTTAATCTAACTTCAAAAGATAAATTGTGTCAAATAAAAGTACTAAAATTTGTCTTCATTCCTATATTGTATATATATTATAATATATATTATTTTCTTATATGGGTTTCTCAGGGAATCTATATTAACACATAAAATCTATGTTAACATTATTAACCAGTACAGTGTATAAAATGTAAAACTTGGAAATAAATGTGAATTTTCTATGTAAATACAACTTGCATGTTATTTTTATTTGAGTAATATTATCCCAACAAACAAAATTCATTTGAGATTGGTAAAGCTGTATGTTTGTCCATCCAGTGAATAATAACTCAAATTCTAGTGAACCAATTTTCTTTGCTAGAAAGATGTCTGTTGTGTTTGAGTGACTGTACCCCCTCCACAGCCTAATGTAGATTATCCCCCACATGTATGATGAGATAAATCAATTACAATATTAATTATCTATTCAAAAGTGTAACACCAACGCAAGTAGAATATAATCGTAGTATATCATTCAATGAAGAGTAATAAATGTTCATATAACTGTATAATAAATCGAGGTGGACACTCGGTCCAGGACTTCTTGAAATGTCTCTGACCATGCTGAAATCTACTGATCAAATGCTGTCGGTCGATTCCGCGAATTGTGCAGAAAATACAAGTAGGTGCCCATATTTAAAGTGTTTCACAATAATGATCTTAAAGCTTAATACAACGCGAATGAGGAATTGATGAAACAAACACATTTCCTCAACAGATACTAAATATTGCTAAAAATATACATATTTGATCTTTTTTAGTTCTTTTTTTATTGTTACATACGTCTAAACAATATAATCTCATATACATATGTATGTTTAAAAGTTATTATCAATTTATTTTGATATATGAGAATGTTATTCAGTTATTAAATGTCTGTGGTCCTTGCTAGATTTTCTTTCCTCAAGTTTGCACAAGTACATGGGCGGAGATATGCTTTATACCGTAGCCAGGGTGAGGCAGACGAGGCGTTTGTCTCATCGCTTTTCAACATGCTTTGAGAAATATTCATCTATCAATGAAGTTGTTAATTAATTGTATAACTTTCATCGATTTTTAATCTTATGTCGTTCTTTGATTGCCATCATTGAACTAAGCTCGTCCCGGGAAGCTCGTACTATTTTGATGGTGTTTAACCTAACTTTAAGTTCAATGTAGCATATAATCATGAATGAATATATACAGGGTGGGCCAAAAACGTCCACATTTTTTATTTCGATATTACTTTTTTGATGGATTTCCATAAAATTTGGGCAAGATGTGCAAAAATCAATTTTCCTAAAGTGGGATTATTGAATCTTTAGGGGGTTTGGAATAATGAAGGTAAATAGACACTAGGGGTCTGTATGGAAAATTACAGATTTCAGGATGATATTCATACCTACAGTTTTACAATGATAATAGTCATGCCTCAAATAACATTTCCAGACTGACTTTTTATACATTCAGCCAGAATGTATTTTTGTTATGTATGATTGTATACACTATGGTCATTTATATATTTTCCAATGTAAATTAAAACATTGGGAGTGTATTGAGACCGATAAGGAAGATTCGATGGGCTGGTTCAACATTATGGAAAACAGAACTGGTAGGCGAAAGTCTGAATGAAAAGTGACGCTCTCTTATTGGCTTGTAATTTATATTTAGTGTTAATCTGAGTCTTAAAGGGCAATGAAGAAATAGGTTGTGTGGACTCAATCAAGCACCATACTGATCTTTTTTTGCCACAAACAAGATCTCAAAATAGCTTTCACTGTGAAGACAGATTTTCCTAAATCATTGTTTTCTCAAGAACCTGAATCAGTTTTCTCTATCTTACTTATTTGTCTTAAATGATACTTCTAATATTCCATTTTTCTGGAGATTATTCCAGAATATACTGAACACCCTATCATGCCTACCACATGTGTTTCTCTGACAGACTGACTAATATGCCATTCTGGTACTTCAATTTGAGACATGACTAATGACAGTGTTGCTTCAAATAACGTTCTAAAATTTGTAATTTTTCCAACGGACCCCTAGTGTCTGTTAAGCTTTATTGTTCAAAAATTCCTAAAGATTTATTCATTCCACTTCAGGAACAATTGTAAAATTGATTTTTGCATATCCTACCAACATTTTATTGAAATCCATTGATTTTTAAAAAGGCCGATATCGAAATTAAAAATGTGTACGTTTTTGGCCCATCCTGTATAAACGGGTTGAGGCAAGACTGCATTCTCGCGGCAACATTCGTTTGTCTGGCCCGACGTCTCTCGTTAATTACCACATTACCGTTAACCCAAAAAGAAAGTGTAACAATGCCTTCGATTGGACATACGAGTCTTGTACAATTTTTCAAAACATGGATTTTATCAAAAAGGACCAGTAGGCTAGATTTTGACGTGTACTTGTAGAAATGGTAGTAATTGCATTTTATAATTAGTCCAGCATCAAGTCAGTGTGTTTTCAAGACGGCGAATTGATATCTCAAAAACAAGTACACGTGACAAACATTTATCCAAAACATTGGATTCATCCATGAAGATATTTCGAACACTAACGATGTACACGATTATTCTCAAAAATGTCGCGTTGTGGTGACCGATTGGACTCAACTTTTTTCTGAGTTCTATCCGACTGAAATAAGACCTAATGCTTATGAACACTAATAATTGATTGAATGTTATAACTTCGAATTCGCTCTATTCTTACTTCGGTTCCTGCGAAAGCTATTTGGATTTTGATATAATAGCTTTCCCACGGAACATTTGGACAGCTCAATGATCGTGACCTTTGAAATCGAATTAAGTCGATCCGCGGCTTCATTTTGGTCTCTAACTGTGTCTTACATCAGTATCATCAATCCATGTAAGTATTGGAGCGCTGGAGTACTTCTTTTTCGATCAAGACTTGTAATTCGTTAGTCGAGTGAATCGTTTTACTGCCAAATTCCAATATGGCGGTTTCTGCTCGGACATTTTCGTAAATCTCCGGAGGTTGTCCGAACCTAACTAATTCTCAAAATTCATTTCGTTCGTTGCGTATCTCGCACCTAGCAAACCGCCATATTGGAAATAGGTCTGTAAAACTTTAACTCGATGAACAATTTACAAGTCTTGATCGAAAAAGAAGTACTCCAGCGCTCCAATACTTACACGGATTGATGATACTGATGTAAGACAAAGTTAGAGACCAAAAGTAAGCCGCGGATCGACTTAATTCAATTTCAAAGGTCACTATTGATCAGCTGTTCACTTCTCCGTTTGAGAGCCATAAGTTTCAAAATCTAACATGGCTCTCGAAGTGAGTAACTCTATTCTTCTGTTGCATATGCCATCTCAGAAGACGCAATTACGCGAAGTAGCCAATCCACACTCGCTAATTCACACGTTTATGCGCAGTGATTATCGTTTGTAATTACTAATTCAAAACAAATGGTTAAGAAAATAAGATCGTTTGAGTTCATTCAAGCAAAAGAGTAGAACAAATATTACATTTTGAGCAGTTTAGACACCTGAGCAGTGTGGCCGAGTGGGTTAGACTGTGGTAGAATGTACCGGGGGATACGGAGGTCCCGCGTTCGAGCCCCAGGTACGGAGTTGTTGATCATTGTCACTACGGACAGTGCACCCGGTCCGAAGGTCCAACCGTATACCGGCCCTTGGCTTGGGTTGGTTCTCTGGCCGCTCTTGTCGGAGACAGATTGTGAGACTGTGGTTGGTTCCTCCACTAACGTGCTTTGGTAGATCCCGGGAGTCATACAGTATGGTAGCGGGCCCCCACCAAGGGCAGTAGTGGAACGACACGAATCGGTCCCAGTATGGTTGCCTTGCAACTGAAGAGACTCGAGGAAATCATGCCATTCGCAGTGACCCAGAAAAGACTTTTGCTTTTTGATAAAACTTAATTCACATAAAGCATGATATAGCCATCTACGTTAACCGTCTGGGTATAATTCCAAAACAGTTGACCCCACATCAATTATATGTTTCACGTATATGCCCAATGTGGGTTCATTTTATTTTAGTGTCAATTTTACAGTATTTTATGTAAAGCATTAAAACGTATATATAAACGTCTTTTATGTTTAAGTGCAAAATAATTTACATAGGATGTTGATTTAGATGAAAATCTAATTTAAAAATAAATAGTAGCGTGGGTGCGGGTTCACATGGTGTTGATCAAAAAACTGAATGATGGCTCAAATGGCAGAGAATAAAAAAGCAGATATAAATATTTCTAAACAAAAATTATTCAATTAAACTACTGTTTACAGTGACATGTGTTTTTACAATGCATGAAACATGAAATAAACATGTTTTGTTGGAGAGAAACAGAACCATACAATCTTGACACATAGATCAATTTAGACTAAAATTTGGATATCAACACCATGTTGGTACATAATTTGATTTTGATTTTCATTGTCATCACAGATGGACAAGTGAGCGATTGCAAAAGCTCACCATGTGAGCAAGGAGGATTGGCTCCCAGGATCGAAACTCGATATTTTCCAACAATGAAAACGTCGAAATGTCGTTATTTTCTGAAATTAAAACCGACTATAAATTCAAAATAAACAGTTCAAAAGATTCGAACCAATATCTCGATCATTTCTTGTGAGTTCTGGAATTTTTCGTTTGGAAATAAGACCAAAATTCACGATTTAAATGTTGAAGTGAACAAAATGGCGGCTGTTTGAATTCGAATTTTGTATTACGACATACCCATATATGGGACAGAATATCGGTGGTGCACTCTGGGAGCCAATCCTCCTTGCCATGTGAGCTAAAAACAACATGGAAGCCATCTTGAAAATGGCGGCTGTTAAATGCTTTTTCACAACTTTTGCTGTCACTCGAAAAGTAATGGAGTGATTTTGTTCATGTGTGAATACTGAGAAGCGTATTACATTTACACAATGAAAATTTGGGTAATTGATGGCCATTTCCAAGAATGGCAGCCATTTTACAGCTGTTTAATGGGATTTACTATGCCTTGGGATTGCTGTTATCTGGTTATACTAGGTTACTTTGGTTACATTTCGAATACAAGAAAGCTCCCCTATTTTCAAAATGACCACCATTTTAGAAGAGGGAAATTCACTTTTTGAGCATTAGAAGCTTTAAAAATAATTTCAGGTGGCCTGCATTGTAAAAACCAAAGTCACTGTAGACAGTAGTTTTACAAGATAATTTTGTAAAAAAAATCCACAGGAAGTTGTATCAGCATGTTTTTCTGTGGATGCAACACATTTTCAATGTGTGTCCCACTGTTTTAAAAGTGATTCCAATAAATAAATAAAAATATCATGTTCTTTTTGGTTTTCGTTTTCTACAGAGTTCTTTGGGCATCTTCACAGACGGTACATTATTTTACCTAGAATCCTAGATATGATTTTAATTTGTTTCCCTACCAAAACAAGCAGCATAAAACTTAATGAAAGGTATGAAACAATAATAATACATGTTGTATTAATTAATTAAAAAGAGCTTTATTCATTTAACAGAGTGTGAAATTATACAATATGAATATATATATCTGTACATATTATATATGCTATAGCCAATTTAGCTAGTTATACAATGTTCCTCTGAACTTTGAATACCTCAGTAGAACAGCAATGTGAGGATAAGAAAATTAAAATGACCCAACAAAAAGGTAGCTTGTTGATTTTCATGATCATAAAATGTCAATGCATATCTTCATATAAACTTCTGTCTTGTCAGAACCTCTTCTGTTATCTGTACACTCTTTGTCATCATCCTGATCCGAAATGTCCAAGCAGTGATGGGTGAGCAGGAAACAGTTATAAAAGGGTGTCCTTATTCTTTAACAAGTGCGATACATTGATAAAAAGTCAGTGTGGAATGATTGGTAGACAGCGTAGTATGCAGTGTTTGGAGATAAAATGTTGCACTATGACAACGATACATCTAATTATAGGTCCATCCAGAGTTATGTATGGGATCCACATTATTGTTCTTCATGCATTGTTTTAGATGATAATAGATGCACTGTTTGATGTGTCAATGTAGGCATAATGTGCAGTGTACATATGTACAACATTCACAAAATAACCATACTAATAATATGAAGTTGATGCACTGTTAATGTTTCGATGTAAAACATAATGAACAGAATTCATATAATCCGAAAGATGTCGATGATGACGCTATTGATGAATGATGATGACGACAACTCGATAGAAGCCTTCCAACCTAGAAAACGGTACTTTTTTGTTGTGTTGGTAAAAGTCCGAATCGTTTCTTTACTGTAATCCTCTGTCTGGAGTATTTATCGTCTGGAGAAAACCTGGCAGGATGGGCTGCCATTGTTGGTTTTCCACTTGGGTCAACTTTTTTCATTGTGTAGACTCTGCTACCTTCATCGTTCAAATAATACATAAGAAACATTGTCTTTTTTGCTTATCGGTGCCTCCTCTACTGTCAACGTGTGTTTTATTAGTTGGATTATTGTTTAATGAGCTTTTATCGAGAAAATACTGTAAAATTATTGAAATTTCTAAACAGCCATGTGCAGCCTCACTTTAAATGACGTCATAGTTTTATGTGTACTTTTAATGAAACCCTGCCATCTATCAATGGCTATGAAGAGTTTTTATGGGCTATGGTAATTTCAGAAGCACTGCCTTTGACTTCTTCAATAACTTTTTTAAATGTAATTTAGACAGTTATATTTGTTAGAACGTAAAGGCTAGAGTACCGACAATTGTCGGTACTCTAGACTCTGATGTGGTGGCACGCTAGAGGACCGACAAATAAATTGTCGGTACGGGAGATATGCTGTGTTTACACGCTAGAGGACCGACAAATATTGATTTTCGAATTTTCTGGCGCATGCGCAATGCGCGGGGGGATATTTCAGATATCATACGGATATTTTGGGAACAAGTGCAAAACCCGGGGAGGGCATTAGCCCCGGTTACCCGGGGATTACCAAATCCAGTCAAAAAATGGTAGCCCGGGAACAGGGAATGGTAGTAAACGTTGAAAACCCAATAAAAAGGAAGGGGCGTTTGCTACCCATTAGATAGAAGAAAATAGCTAGAATGTTTTTTAGAGCTTATCGTATGGTATGAGGTTCCATATCCATCCGCCAAAAGGTATATACTAGTAGTCCATTTAAAAACCTGTGGTATCGTTCTAAATAACCCATAGTTGGCTTCTAGGGTACCTAGTATGCCACTATTTGGTATCAAAATAAAGAGGAGTTCAACTTTCATTTGAATTACGAAAATAGCGATGTAGGTCAAAATAGTTCCGAACGTGAGGATGTTTACGACGCGTTTGCCTGTCATATTAGAATTGAGGAAGTGGTAGCAAACGCGAGTTACAATAAACGGACGCTGATATCTCAAAAAGTAACCTGACTCCCTATAATTTGATGTAGGTCAATCGAACCCCTATATGGACAGGTGCATTTTGATGTATAACACTATGGGGGGTAAGCGTTTCATAGTTGGTCACGAACGCCATATGTGCAAAGTATTGTTATGAATTTTCGAATTTGGTGTTGGATTACGGTACTCATACCTTATAGCACAATTTTTGATGGAAGTTGCATTTGGCTCCCTTAGTTAATGGCTACGATTCCATCTCGCATGAGAGAGCTACCAAACGCAAAGTAAACAGTGATATATTCCAAATGAGATATTTCTCCTGTGCCATGGCGTAGTAAGGGTAGAGGTCGACGGGGGCGAAAGCATCCCCTTCTAATTGTATATATCGACCCATTAGATAGAACAAGAAAAGAGCTTTAAAATGTTTTTTAATTGAAGCTTGTAGGACAATTTTGATGGAAGTTGAATCAATTTTTGTCGAAATAAATTATGGCTCACTACAAGTTAATGCCTGTACGATTCCATACTGCAAAAGAAGCACTATCCCCCCCTCAAAAGAAAAAAGTAGGTCTTGCCGGGATTCGAACTCGGGACCGAGTGTGTTTGAATCGTGCTCGCTAACCACTAGACTACCAGTGATAAGTTATTTATGAAATTAAAAGTAGTGAATTTATTTATGAAATTGTCGGCTCTCTAGCAAAAACACGTAGCAGCCACTTGCGTACCGACAATTGTCGGTTCTCTATCTGACACTACTAGGTGACGATAGAGTGCCGACAATTGTCGGTACCCCAGCAAATACCCCTGGACAGTCTCCAGTACCGACAATTGTCGGTCCTGGAGCCACTCCGTTGTTAGAAAACTTTCTTCAACTTCTTGATGATTCTAAATTTCTAATCAATTAAGACTATACATTATAGAGCTCTTGATTGAATCATGGGCTTTAATTAGATAATTCTAGTTGAAAACCCATGATTGAATGTTTGCCAAAAAAACATGACTACCAAACACCAAACCATGGGATTTCAATTAGTTGAAAGCCCATGACCAAACTATTAAAGAAATGTATATGGATTGGTTACCTGAAATAGTTGATCGAAATATTATAAAACAAAAAGGAAAATCATACTTTTTGCCGAAAGTAAAAAACAGAAATAAACAATTTTATTATCATTTTGATAATTTATATTAGATGTCTCTTACCATGGGCTTTCAATTCTAGTTGAAAGCCCATGCTCTTACAAAGTATTGTAAACATAATTCTAACATGACTGTATTCACGCCTTCTGTAAACTGTAAACAAAGTCAATGCTTCAGCTGGGTTATATTCGAGATCAATAACCCAGTTAATACGAGTAATGTGTGACGTCATAACGATGGGTCCTAGTAATGGTGGACCATGATGAATATTCGAAACAATTTGGTGAGTTTTCATATTCGAATCGTAATATAGACCTCAGATCAGGGGTAATATCGTCGAATACACCCCTTGGGGCTAGGCACAGCCCTGCGGGTTGTATTCGACGATATAACCCCTGCTTTTCGGTCTATATTTCTTAAATATAAAGCTCATGGTTAAAAAGTTAAACAGCCTATGTTAAAATGCATAGATTAAGTCAGTCGGTCAGTTTTGTCTTGTGGCTTCAACTTCTCATACACAGAATTCAAGATGTAAGATATGTTCCACATAACAAAGGGTTAATCTTGTGAGTTAAAGATGTTGTCCTGTGCAAAAATACATGTTTTGACTGGGCTGACACTTCGATGGGTTCAAATGTACATCCATTCCATGTGATGATATGATCTCAGAATATTGTAGCTCCAAATCGTGGATCATTTGGTAAAATACTTCGAGTGTCTTCTCCTCGACCACACAGTAAACAAAACATCTGGTACTCCTGGAAAACATACGAAAATGGCCAAATATTGAATATGTGAGTCATAAAGAAAATACCTTAAAGGGGACCACCACCATGGTCACATGATCAGTCGTGTGGAGGTAAGCTCCCAGTTGAAATAAAAGTACTGTCCTCCTTTGGTTTATGTGAAAAGTAGCTAATACCCTCATGTATTGGTCAGTTTGTGTGTCACACGACTAATCAACACCATATGCTTCATTCAACATATTTTATGCTATTAAGCTGCATATAAAAACACTACTGGATGAACTAAGGTTAGGGTAATTAAATTAGTTGTTTCTCATTCTTGCCTGCGTGTGGCCCAATCTCCCCTCCACCTTTTTTCTGCCATTTCTGAGAAAAAACACCGTACCTCGCGCGCATCCATGGCGTGTGAAACACTTTCAGGATAATTGACAATATCGTGGTACTGATATATGATCAAATATACCAGTAAAGTAGGCTCAATTCAACATATAAATTCAACATAAACTCAGTTTATTTCCTTCAAAATAAGTTATTTGTTTTTACAGTTATTTTAAAGAAAAAAATCACCCCGTCCCTCATCAGCATTTTAGATAGACAAAAAAGGTAATATAAAAACCGTCATTCCCGTATCAATTTTGAAAATTAGAAGAAAGAGAAACAACTAATTTAATTACCCTGGCCTAACATAAAATACAAAGCCACTAGCTAGCTCATACAGTATACTTACCCCTTGCAAATTGTAATTTATTGAATTCACAGTAAACCCATCAATTTAAAAAAAACAAAGAATATTGTTCTCATGGATCTATTATTCATGTTAAACTCACTATGAAATTATAAATATGAAATAATATGTTAGCTTGAAGTCATATATAAGATGAAAATATATGTTCATGCATTTGCATTTTTCCAAAGGGAATATTCCCATGTAAGTAAATACAGGTGCAATATATAATTTATATGTATATCTATGTCATCTGTCTATACATGCGCATATACAGTAGTGATACATTTGAACAAGATGGTTCTGGAAAGAAATGAGCGTGGCAGATTTGCTAAAAAGCCACATACACCACAAAAGCAAGACCAATTTGAAAGTAAGTTCATTATTCTCAAGGGTACACTTCAAGTGAAAGCTACATTGCTACAGGGTGGCCTATCATTCTGAGACAAATGTATTATCAAACGATTGTGATTTTCGAAGCTAAAATATGATATCTTGAGCAGATGGAAATACATTCCCATGAGATATGTATATATAGTCAAAAGTGATAACTATTATTGAGTGTAATGAAACGTATCCTTCGCTAACTGCTTTTGTTTGAGATAATTATCATGAAATATTTTTTAATTAATTTTTATGTGTGTCATTGATCCTAATCCACCCTGTAGTCTGGTGTTTGTAGAGCATTGCACCTCGTATAACTTATTCTCACAAATATCAAACCTCATTTACTAATTAATTTTTTGTGTGAATATGAAGAGTCCAAGCATTGCTTTTTTATGTTTACTGTATAGCTATATTTAGCCTTGATATCCATGATTTTTTAAAACAAAATCTCACCGTTAGATTTCGAGCTATTCATGTTTACTCATTTTTCTAATTGGAAAACAATGCAAATCTCATTTTTTCAAAGGAAAAAAATTGAAATTCTAAGACGGTGAAAAATCATTAAAAAATACACAGATTCAGAATCCGGCAAGCATTTTCCCTTATTCCTCTCCGTTAAGAAGTTTTGTAAGGTGTTGGATCCCTTTAAATACCCAATTGAAATTACTTTGGCACAACATTCACAGTGGGTGTTACAGTACTGTCAACCCCCAAAGATTTTCTCGCGGGACAGATTTTTTAGACCCAGTGCCCAAAATTCGCGGGATTTTGCGGGACATCTACTAAATTCGCGGGACATTTAAGGGATTTGCGTGATTGCGCTTATAGGCCAATTTTTTTTTATCAAATTCGCGTGATTTCGCGGGACCATTCGAGGGACAAACACCCTAATTGCGGGACAGTTAACAGGTTTACCAGCAAAAACTTCATAGAGGGACAGATTTTCTAGAAAAAGTGCCCTAAATTTGCGGGATTTCGCGGGACATCCACCTAAATTTGCAGGATGTCCCGGGACATTCAAGGGATTTGCGTGATTTGGACTAATGTAAAAGCGTGTAAAAGTACTTGAATCAAACTTTCAGATACTGATTAATCAAATATAATGCACCGTTACATTGTAACTTAAATAAACGTCAACATAATTTCACAAAATACGCATAGAAATATTATTAAACTTTATTGTAATTTATCAAAAACAAAAAACATGCTTGAGGTGTGAGTATCGTAATCTAACACGAAATTCAAAAATTTGGAACAATACTTTGCACTTCTCTGCTTCTGGCGTCGTGACCAACTACTACCATACTGTAGGCATGATATAGGGGTTCGATTAATCTACATCAAATTATAGGGAATGAGGTTACTTTTCTAGATAGGGTTTGTAGAAAAAACCGGGTACCGGGTAGTAAATCCTCCATGCTGGGTTCAAACTTTTTTTTTTTTTTATTCCTTCATTCTTATTTATGTACATGTAAATGTAAATATAAATATGTACATGTAAGTGTAATGCAATTAATAATATAAATAAAATTTACGTAGACAAACTTGGTACCCGGTCGAAAAACCGGGTACCCAAAAAACGAAATATACGAATATACAACATAATTAGATCATTCGAAAACGTGTAAGATTTGTTTTGAATTTACAAAAATGTAACTTCCTTAAAAATTGAGCTAGAAGCTTCAAATAAAAAGCATTTTAAGCCTCTTTTCTTCCTCTATCATCATGGTCATATTTTCCGATTTGGTAATGAAGGGGGATGGGGTGCGATCGCACCATCACACCCTCTCCTGGCTACGCCAATGACATTGTAAGACGATGCGAATAACAAGACAAATCAATTTTACTCTATTTTCAATGAGTTCGTATGTTGGTACGTGAACATAACCAATGAAAATATGGTCATGACGATAGAGGAAGAAAAGAGCCTTAAAATATGCTTTTTATTTGAAGCTTCTAGCTCAATTTTGAAGGATGTTACATACATTTTTGTAAATTCAAAACAAATCTTACACGTTTTCTGATAATCTAATTATGTTATACTCGTATATTCGTATTTTTTATTTTTTGGGTACCCGTTTTTTGACCGGGTACCGGGTACCAAGTTTGAACCCAGCATGGAGGATTTACTACCCGGTACCCGGTTTTTTCTACAAACCCTTTCTAGATATCAGCGTCCATTTATTGTAACTCGCGTTTGCTAACATTTGCTCAGTTCTGAGATGAAGGCCACACGGATAGTAAAAAGGCCAACGTTGGAACTATTTGTGACCTACATCCCTATTGTCGTAATTAAAATGAAAGTTGAACCCTTCCTCTTTATTTTGATACCAAACAACAGCATGCTAGGTACTTAAAATTAGGTAAACTTTACTCTTCAAAAGTGCAAAAACTTAGCTTCTTATATAAGATAAGATAATCACCATATAGGGGATTGCAACAATTTGGAAATTCGCGGAGGTCGAAAGCCACATTTGCGGGACTTCGCGGGACATTGCGGGACACGCGAATTAGCCTAATTTTGATCGAATTTGCGGGATAATCCCGCCATTCGCGGGACACTTGACAGCTCTGTACAAGTGAATAAAATATGCTTAATCCAAATAATACTGGGTTCTGTGAAATACTATATAATCAGATTCAGATGTGTTTAAAAGCTCAGATCTAGTTTATAAAGTATATTTATCAAAATGTTCACCTTGAAGTTATTGAGATTCTTTGAAAATATATGCTAAAGTGAAATCTAGGTGAAATTTGGCGCTCAACGGTTCCAAAAATACCCTGACTCTCAGCAGGCAGTAATAATACTATGCTCTGAGGTAGTGAAATATCCCTGAACTCAAATGAGCGCTAAGCAGCAAAATCAGAATGAAAACTGGCAGAAACTCTCAAAGCTCAATTAAATGGCCAAAATAAACAAGATTAAAGATCTTAGCCCTATTTACTCTAGGGATAAATTAGTCTGCACCCTCCAGAGTATGGATGGGCACAGATTCTAAGGGTGACAAAATCAAAAATCAATTACATTCTGCAGGCCTGTCAACTGTCCCGCAATTTGCGTATTTGTCACGCATTTGCTGAAGAATTTGAAGTCACGCCAGTTATTTTTGCGTGACAGAAAATGTCACGCAAATACGCATTTTACCTGGTAATTGTCAAGCAAAAATATTTCTGTAGAAAAATTTCTAAAAAAGTTCGTCTACACAGCAAAAATACGAACGTCGAAAAAAAACGTACGCATTTCGTTCGGACTTTTCACGCGAATTACGTATATGTCACGCATTCCGTTCGAAATAATTCGTACCTACCCCCCCCCCCCCATGGTCATGGTCATCATGGTCATATTTTCCGATTTGGTAATGAAGGGGGATGGGGTGCGATCGCACCATCACACCCTCTCCTGGCTACGCCAATGACATTGTAAGACGATGCGAATAACAAGACAAATCAATTTTACTCTATTTTCAATGAGTTCGTATGTTGGTACGTGAACATAACCAATGAAAATATGGTCATGACGATAGAGGAAGAAAAGAGCCTTAAAATATGCTTTTTATTTGAAGCTTCTAGCTCAATTTTGAAGGATGTTACATACATTTTTGTAAATTCAAAACAAATCTTACACGTTTTCTGATAATCTAATTATGTTATACTCGTATATTCGTATTTTTCATTTTTTGGGTACCCGTTTTTTGACCGGGTACCGGGTACCAAGTTTGAACCCAGCATGGAGGATTTACTACCCGGTACCCGGTTTTTTCTACAAACCCTTTCTAGATATCAGCGTCCATTTACTGTAACTCGCGTTTGCTAACATTTGCTCAGTTCTGAGATGAAGGCCACACGGATAGTAAAAAGGCCAACGTTGGAACTATTTGTGACCTACATCCCTATTGTCGTAATTAAAATGAAAGTTGAACCCTTCCTCTTTATTTTGATACCAAACAACAGCATGCTAGGTACTTAAAATTAGGTAAACTTTACTCCTCAAAAGTGCAAAAACTTAGCTTCTTATATAAGATAAGATAATCACCATATAGGGGATTGCAACAATTTGGAAATTCGCGGAGGTCGAAAGCCACATTTGCGGGACTTCGCGGGACATTGCGGGACACGCGAATTAGCCTAATTTTGATCGAATTTGCGGGATAATCCCGCCATTCGCGGGACACTTGACAGCTCTGGTGTTATCTTGACACAATTGGTACTGCTGGGATACTAACACAATTTACACTGTGGGTGTTATCTTGACTCAACTGACACATCGGGTGTTATCTTGACACAGTTGACAAATCAGACATATTTTGACGCAATTTGACACAGTGGTTGTTATCTTGACACAAGTGACAGAATCGATACAGTGGTTATTATCTTGACATAACACATAGAGTTAGTGTTATGTTAACACCACTTGCAATTTGCATTGTGAGCTTTATATTGACAGTTATAGTAGGCACCATCTTAACGCCATCTATACACTGACACGATACATTCAAAGGGTGTTAAAGGGACATGTGTGATCATGTAAACATTAATTTATTTTATTCAAAGAAAACACTAACCTGGAAGTCCTCTGAAACACAAAATGTATATTCATGGTCTGCTATGACATGTCCACATCTTTCACATATGTCTGAAAATTAAAGTAACAAATACATTGAGAGTCTACCAACATAAAACATATCAAATGAGAATTTTTAAAATTGATTAAATACAAATGTAATGGTACAGGTAAGTACCACTACAGCAATGTCATTCGTTATAGCAATTTAGCAAACACTGTTTGATTTAGATGAATGTGTCAAGTACAAACGTTTATATTTGATCATTTCATCCCCCTCATCTCCATGCTCCTCAGATCGTTCTGTAATTTTTATGGTATCCTTTCCTGCCTGGCACTTGGCACAATGTGTAAAGTTCATCCAATATGAGCCATTTTCTAAACAAGTTGTGTTCTGGAAATAGAAGTAAATACAAGGAATATGTAATGTAATGTGCTTCCATGTTATAATATATTACATCATGGGCTCTACCACTCTACCAAAATGATAAATGTAAGACATGTTCAGTTCCTATCATAAATAAATGGCATCTTGATTTTCTAACACCATTCCCAGACTTACTCGAGTCATAGAGAAGGCTTTGGACCTACATGTACAGTGTAAGTAATCCCAGGCCATGGTGATTTGAGACTTCATACTTTCCAATAATGGAACACATCCTATAAGTTTTGTATATTTTACATTTTGTATACTCTCAACTACTGACCTAGTATGGTCACTTGAAAATTATCTTCTTTTTAACATGGGAAATCCTCACTTCAGCAAATCCAGGTGTCATTTATTTATGGTATCACCCTTTATTTATGGTGAAATAATTATCACAAATAATTGTTCTATTCAGAAGATTCTAACATTTCTCTTTCCTTTACGCAGATCCTTATAAATCAGAGAAAAAATAACTAAATTAATGATAACATACCCGCTCAGGGAAGGAATCTTTCACACATTCCTTACACATTTTTATATTTCACAAAACCCGGAAGTAGTAATGGTGTACAAATGTGTCACATGACAGTCATGTGACTTTCAAGGTCAATCAAAAACCGGAAGCTGGTAAGCGAAGGATTTATTTAAAGTATTTCACGATTAGGCTTTTTATACACCTCCAGGGACCATTTGGTCGTTTTAAATGTGATACCATTATGCTAAATAAAACCCAGAATACGCACGATCTTTGAATCATCTTCGATTATGTCTGTGTTTATGTAATTGTTTGTTATGTAAGGAATAATTTCAAAATGGATTACGAAATTTCATTTTTGAATTATGTTTGAGCATGGGCATTCAACTCTAGTTTTTTGATAAGAATCAGTCTGAACTCTGATCAGAATCAGTCAGTAGCCTTTGACATAGGTAACCTAAGCTTAGGGTATATGTGTTTGCCTTAACAGGCTGACTAATCTGATTCAACATCTCATAGGTATATGAGAAAATCCAGGAGTTTACAGTTGGGGACATAAATAAATGACAGGTGGATTTGCTGAAGTGAGGATTTCCCATGTTAAAAATAAGAGAATTTACAAGAGGCCATACATCAGTGGATGAGATTATACAAAATGTAAAATATACAAATTTTAAGGGATATATATCTAGACAATATTGGAAATTATGGGCTTTCAGACCACCATAATTAGGAAATGGTGATCGAAAATCGACCTGTCATTTATTTTTGTCCCCAACTGTACATACAGTTGTACAGTTCATTTCCTAATTATGGTGGTCTGAAAGCCCATAATTTCCAATATTGTCTAGATACATATCCCTTAAAATTTGTATATTTTACATTTTGTAAAATCGCATCCACTGATTTATGGCCTCTTGTAAATTCTCTTATTTTTAACATGGGAAATCCTCACTTCAGCAAATCCACCTGTCATTTATTTATGTCCCCAACTGTATGTACAGGTTTGCTGTTATCCAAGAACCCAGGAGAATTTTTAGTGCAACATTTAAAGATTTTGTAATTAATTTTAAGATGCTATAATTAAGCATTTTTGTTTCAGGAAAATCTTAGAATATTTTTTCAGTCAGATACAACTCTCTAAATAATGACAACCTGATACTCAAGGTATACAGCAAAACTCAAGCCTGGATGAAAGTACCAAAAACCAGGAATGAACTAACAGACTAAAGATGTCAGTACTGAGGAAGTTATGGCCAGCATTGAAGTTTGGAACAGTCGCTGGAACACTGGGTGGCACGGTTACCTACCTACACAGTGTAGAGTGGGATGTTGGATCTATTGGCTTGGTTCGCTTCGGAAGAGCAGCCTTTGTTGTGAGTGCCAACATTTTGATATATGTACCCGGGTATATATAGAACTGACTAGATATCTGAAATTTTCTACTTTGATCTAAAATGCATATGTTGATTGTTTAAGACCATTGTGCTACTGTATGTTGAAAACAGGGTGGGCCAAAAATGTTCAAATTTTTATTTTTCTCTAACTTTTTTAATAAGCATGGATTTCAGAAAAAATTCTTTGAGATTCATAATTCAATTCTATAGTTATAATTACCATTAGGAGATTAAAAATGGTAAAAATCACTACCCCATGTTACCCCAGTACCCATGGTACTTCTTTTACCTATATCTTTAAGTTCTACCTATACCAAGATGCTTTTATGCAGCATATGTACAGTGTATGCTCTGTTTGTGGTTTCAGATTGGAAAAGTGGCTGTAGATTATAAACTTACACTCGGGAAATTGGATTCAAATTCAGATGAATACATGAATGCAAAATCTCAGGTATGTCAATAATTTAAGATATAACATATGCTATTGCAGTGCATAAACCCGCACACAATTATCGGGGGTACATGTGGTTAAGATGCTTTCATTGAAATAATTATGATGGACGAGTTGTTCGATTTTGAAGTCAGGGCTGTAATAGGCCTTGATTCGGTCTAAAATAAGCCCCTGTATAATAAAGGCACATTTTTAACAATAGGTTGATATAAAGATTGCAGCAGTAGAATCTTATTTATGAGAATTATAAAGAAACACAAGACAGATTACAACGCCATCTTTATTTAAAAATGAAAATGTATCGTCCTTACCCTATATTTTTCACCTTTCAGGTTCATCTAAGATCTGCAGTCAAACTTCATGATTTATGCTGTAAAAATGGTGGTTGTTTCATCAAAGTGGGTCAGCATATAGCAGCACTTGAGTACCTCCTCCCTAGTGAATATGTGACAACATTGAAGGTTCTCCATGACGACGCTCCTCAATCTTCACTGGAGGATCTCTCTAAGGTCATCAGAGAGGACTTAGGGCATGATGTAAGGAAACTAAAGTATTTCTTCTTTTTTTTCAAAAAGATAAAGGAATTCATCATGATCATTGAATGAATTCTTTTTTATGTCTAAATTAGCCCAATATCACTCATACAACTTTTATTTCATCTTCACATATGTAGTTTTTCAGTTTATTTGTACTTTCTATTTTTCCTGCTATTATCAGTTTCATAACTTTCATTTTGCAGATTTCTGAGATTTTCACATCGTTTGATACTACGCCTATAGGAGCAGCCTCATTGGCCCAAGTTCACAGAGCTACACTAAAAGATGGCACTGAAGTGGCAGTCAAAATACAACATCCGAATCTCAAACGTCATGCATCTGTTGACATGGCAACTATGGAGGTAAACAATATAATGCAGAATTTTCAACTTTTGTTACAATGGCATTAAGCTAAAATTGACTCTCTACCCACAACTTTTTGGTGGCAACTATTATCGTAATGATCAGACTCGTAACCATTTTAACAGACAGACTATTGATTTGTTTATCAGAATCTCTATATTACATTATAGACTGTGGACTACTCTGATAATTGCAACTTCCATTTTTCATGGAAGGTCACACATTCCAACATATTTCAAACAGTCTGTATGATTATGCTAGGCACTTTCTGGGTAGTTGGACTTCATGTAGGGGTGGCAGACGGCCCTCAGGCCAATTCATACCCCCACCCTAAGAAAACCTTGGGGGTACTTTAATACCACCTGATAAAAAGAATACTAATGCATGTCATATATTCATAGTTTTATAGTAGGCAGAGCATACCATGGTTAGTCAGTGCCAGAAATTTCCAATCTCTAACTTATATGGTTACCATGGAAACAGTATTTATATCTCAAAATCTTCTCAATTTGACCTCCTCCAAAATATGTCCCTTAGCCCTCAAAGTGAAATATTTGCAAATTTGTTTGGATTTTGTGGCTGCAACTTTGTCAAAAGTTGTATAAATATGTATATATTCACACTAAAGCACTAAAAAGTTGATATAATGCTCCAATAAATCAATAATATCTATCAAATATAGTCACACACAACTACTTTTAGGGAAAAGTGGGCGTGGCACTTTTTGGAACTTGTGTAATTGTTGCAGCATTAAGCAAAAAATACATATTACACTAACAATAATTGACATTTAATTATCATTTACTAACATTGTGTAACACTGTAATATGTTCATTATCATTATTAGATACTTAAATTATTTTATGTAAGTGTTATCATGAACTTTCCTTTTATCCCTATACCATACAAGGTGGGCATCACCAATGGTGTCAAACTAACTTTTCTGTTCAACTTATTTTTTACCATAGACAAGGGAAAAACTTTACTTGAAGTCGTGACCTGATTAGGTGCTATGTATATGGATAGATGGATTGATACTAGTCGGTAGATGGCAGCACTTGTGCTAGTTGGGCTAGATACAAGTATTTACCATTGACTTGACATGTGTCACTTAGTCTATTGATTTACCATATTTGTTCTGTTGGATTAAAGTAAAACTGCATTTGCATTGAATTTGATGATGTTCAGATTGTGTTTGAAACTTGATGATAATCAGAAGTGTTTGAAACTGGATGTTGTTCAGATTGTGTACACATGAACTTTAATAGGACCACTGAAACAATAAGTCAATGATTAAGATTCTTTAAAATTATCTCAATGAGAATTTAGCCTGTTAACCTATAGTTAAACTACACTTCAGCAAGATTTCGAAGCTATATAACAAATCTCATAATTTGCAACTTTTTCATTATTTGATAATTTAACCCATTATTCTTTATTGCTGATTTAAAAATTGCAAGGAATTCAAATGACCTAGGGAAGCCAGTGATATGAATTGGCCTTATTCATTGAGTTACATTAAAATGGAAAATTGTGAAGAACAAGAGAACTGTTCCACGGCTTCACAGGAAATATGGAAGCAAAGTCAACAAGGGATGTGGGAACTAGGCTGTTAACATATAGAGATTTAGAACTCTCCAGGGAAGTGTCTCTATTTGGTATAAAATACACAGGTCTATTCATGCACACCATTTTAAATATGAATCAAAATTAGTGATATCCATGTTTCTGGTGAAAGCATTAATTGAAAGAGACAAACATCCTACCCCAATGGTATAAAATATAAGGAAGTTCGAAGCAGTAAAAAAGTATTACCATTTTAGATTTGATTGAACAAATTGAATCAGAAGCAATTTTTAAATTTCGCTATATTAAAAGAGGCTCTCTTGGTTAGATGGGAGAATTAGCTGCATGTTAAAGGTGCCGCTTTGTTCAGTTTATAACAAAATTGATATTAAGCCCGAAACAGTAAGAAATGTTAAGCAAATATTTCATTCTATGGAGGGCAATACCTGTTCATCTTTCAATGATTTTTGCAATATGTATTGCCCGCAGCCCGTAGGGCGATGGTAATACATGTTGCAAAAATCATTGAAAGTGCAGTTGTCAGAATCCCCAGGCGGGCAATACGCTGGACAATACATCTTTTGAATATGGAAATAATTCAGTGAGCTGTGAAATACGCTGGTATTTTTAGTCACATGGATCTGAATTAGCCAATCAAATCACACGATTTATAGCAATGATGCAATAATTAGTGCTACTTCCATGAACACCCGTTTTGTAGAATAAGATTCTGATTCTCGTATTTGGTATATATATGAATTAGACAAAGGCAAATCCAGTCGAACATCTTGTTGAGCATCAAACAAAGGTACAAGCTATATATCATTTCTCAAAATGGCCACTTTACTGAAGAAATTGTCAAAAGATTATATGCATCATGTTTTAATGTATTTACATTTAAATATAGCTGTCTTAATAAGTACACATGATGAAAATACAGGCACAAACAAAATGCATACTTTCTGAAACCCTGCGTTTGGATATTGATAAATTGAATGATATTGGCTAAAAACTTCTGTCAGAATTGAAACAATATTTCCCCAAGAAAAGTCAACATTTCAAAACAACAGCAATAGCTAGAACTATCCTATTTAGATGTTTACTTGACAGTATGGAAAATTGGGGAAGCCTGACAGAGAATCATAACAGATAGAGGTAGAAAGATTTGATAAAGAAAATGGAGTTTTGGTGTGGGAGGGGGGGGGGGGGCGTGTAATTGTATACTTGTTTATAAAATTGATAAAATGACATATTCTAGACAAGAATAGGCATTTGCCATAATAAACTATGAGGGATAATGACTCATAAACTTACACAATGGAGATTTGGGGTAGTAATATGGAACATACGTTATATGGAAACTGTAACCTTATAAGATCTTGTCCAGTATTTCAGTCATACCTGATTATAAAGGACCATTGATGTTACAGCATCAGGGCATATTACATATACCCTTTGCATTCGTTTGACTTCACTTCTTAAAAGAGAGCTTCGTCTTCACTCTTTCAAACTAAAATAAACCTGTGAACTCACCGCGCCAATCAGTGTTCGTCGGCCAAATTTGACCGACGTTCTGTATATGGTCATTCCTTCTGACGTCATCGTTGAGCCCGGAATTGACCAATGACATGGGCATATTTAATTAGAACGCATTTGGCGTATGTTTCTTGAAGTTCGCTGATTGGTGGAAGGTCAGCGCGTAGGTCAAAAGTGATTTATTACCCAAACTGTCACCGGTACCCGTCGTGCCGGGGGGCGGGACTACTAAACTGTAAAATGGTATCTACTAGGCAGAGTGTAGTTTAACTAGACTCTGCACACAGGGTATATTACATATAATATTTAATCATGACCATCATTTCTACTGTGCCAAAATCATTCAACCAATTTTAAAATGGAATACGAGAACAAGATTTCTTATTCTAGGTTATATTCATATGTCTAATAATATTTGATATTAAACATATAAACCTTTATTGTTTTTATACACTAAACAGATTTGTTTAGATATTATTTTAAGTTTTAACATAACAAACCACTTTCCAGGTCGAAGGAATCACTAAAGGTACAGCATTTCAGAAATGTGTAAATTGTTTATATTTCATTATTTTGTGAAATACTAAAAGGAGTTTTACCCGTACCTTGTTGACCATGAGTCAATGAATGCATTATGTAATATCTGCAAAATGATGCACTATGCAATTCATACATGGAATAATTTATTTTGCCATATTGGAATTAAGAGGCACTATTTGTAAAAAGGGGGCAGGAGGTGGCACAGGTCAAATTTTATATTTTAAAAATTTCATTCTTATATGAAAGTATGACCATTCGGAAGCCAAAATATGTTATTCATTTTTCTCACAGATGATTGGTTAGTGTGTGACACCGTTGCTAAGCAACCCATGTTTGTTGTCTTTTTACAACCTAGAAAATGCACCAAAATCAGTGAAAAAAGACATATTTCAAGCTTATGATATGCCAAGAAGATAATCCAAAACCAGTTAATAACCATTTGATTTGTATATGGGACATGTTGAAGAGTTCATATGTATTGTTTATTATGACGTCACAATGGTTGCCATGGTTACGGAGCCTTTTCTGGAACATGGGTCAATTAAGAGACGAAATGGCAGCCATCTTTGGACCCAGTTTGTTTAATAAGCCAGATGTCCCATGTAGAGTGGGTATTACTGTTGGAAAGAGGAGCATTAGAGCTTTCATAATCTGCAATAAAATAACTGGGATTTTGGGTTTTCAAGATTTTACAAGCATTTTACTTTTAACCTTTTTTTCGATGTTTTCGGCCATTTCTTCAAGGTTTTCGTGATTTTAGTTGTAAACATGAGGGTCAATATAGAGACGAAATGGCAACCATGTTTGGATCCAATTTGCCAGAAAAGCCAGATGTCCCATGTACAGTGAGTATTACTGTTGGAAAGAGGAGCATTAGGGCCTTCATAATCTGCAATAAAATAACTGGGATTTTGAGAATTCAAGATTTTTCGTGCTTTTTACTTTTCCCATTTTTTCGCTATTTTGGAGTATTTTTCAACTTTTTCATGATTTTAAGTTGCAAACATGATATTGTTTAGATGTAGCAATGATTATCATCTTATATCTAAATCTGCCACATATGATATATGGAGAATAGGGATGACATTTCTGGCACAATAAACCCTATTGGCCAAAATGGAAGGATGTTAGGTCAATATAATTGTCTTAATAAAGTGCCCATACCCCATTTTTCATTGTTCAAATCATGGGCTTTCAATTATATTTTTTATAAAAAAATGTGTGTTATCAAGCAGGATTATTAATTTAAACTTCAAATGGATTATAATCATTGAATTGATGGATGAAGTAGTTACAATGCTTCTTTTAACCAATCTCATGTTATATTGGCTAATACTAAGCTACCCCTACCCCATTT